AACATAGGAAAAAATACCCATTTGCGGATGACTTTCCCATTCAACATGGCACTTTGTCATGCTGATGTCCTCAGGGTCAGCCGAGATCTTCATCCCAATGAGAAATGCATGCATCTCAATCTCACACCTCTCATGGCTTTTTGTTGCTTTCTTCCCGGCCGCAAATCACCCCCTGCCTTTGGGAGGCTTCACCGGGCTGATTTCTCGATTGGATTGCAGCAAGCAGGGCACGTTTTGAATGTTTTGTTGCATCATTGGCGTCGCTGCTAACTCTACGACGCGAACAAAGGAGGAATCCTGAGCTGCAAGTCGCTAAGTCGGCCCCGTCCAGCGAACATGTCCATGGTCTATTTAAGAGTAAAGAAATCAAAAGTTTCTAAAGAGCATCGAGGCTTTGAACATCTTAAAACTAGAAAATGGGTGAGTTCAACAAAACAAACAGCTACAACTCGATCGGCATAGTGGACTGTGGGTGATTTGACAAATAAGCGACAAGTAAACGGAGCAATGCTGTCAGCATACAGTAATACATCTGACCAAAGCAATCAATCTACAGTATCTACTGTAACCAAGCCATGGCAGAAGAAAGGAAACTGTCCCACAAAATATCCTGAACTCCAAAGTTCCCTCCAAAGCCTGATGGTTGGGTTACATTAGAAAAAACTCCATCAGTTGTGGCTGACATTGTATATATTTTTTGTGTCTCATATTGAATAGATGGATCATTCTATTGAGTAATACGAACTTGGGTTCCAGACCTCCTGTCCAAAATGAGAATAAGCAGGGCTACTAAGTAGTGGCACCCTCCCCCATATGAAATAGCCCCCGCATGGGCCCCCGAAATGAATACATCCAATACGAAACAATGGTTTGAACACAAATAGTTAAAGTTAATGATTTAACTATTAGAGGGTTGGACTCAATGAACGAATCAATAAACCATAATAAGCCCATCTTGGGAGTATTTCAAGGAATGATTCCCCTTATATAGTTTCACCATGTTTCACCTCATTTTTGTGAGCTCCGCCAGGTCAAGAACTTGCGCAGTACGCCAAGTTGCACTACCACCGATCCTTGTAAATCGCTGGTCGACCCCTCACGCGTCGGATCTTGGCAACGAAACCTTTCGGACTTTCGAGTTCAAATAAGCTGCGAGAAACATATAAAATCACCTGAGTTTATAGCAGATTCAGGGTGATTTCTGCATCAATTATGTTATCCAAACTCCTCACAGTTTTGGAAGTGCTTTCAATACCTACACAATTCCACTTAAAAACGGTGGATACGAATCAATGTGGCGGCATCAAGTTTTAAGCCATAGCCACATGTTATCCCTTTGAGAATTGCTCCACCAATAAGAGCACCAGGATGGCTAGTGGCTAGTGACTCAGATCTTCTCATTCAAATATGTCACCAAATCTGCGACAGGTGCTTGAGCCATCCTCCTGAAAAAAACATCCGCAACCGTCAGGGATTCTCATCCCATTTTGATGGTTTCCTGAAATGGGGGTATCGACTAGTTATCATCCATTTTAGATGGGGATTTTCCATTATAAACCAACCATTTTGGGGATCCCCCATGACTATGGAAACACCCAGCCATTGACGCTTGAACCATGATTGAAACCACCAGCCAAGTCTGACGCTCCACGTCCCTGAGGGAAGCGCCAACTCTGCGTCCAGCGCTTGGTTTTTTGCCTGGCGACACCCTCACGAGCAACTCGCAAAAAATGGACTAACCATGACTAAACCCCCAAAACATATCAAACAAAATCACTTAGTACATTCCAGGGTTGTCCAAACAAGCAGAAAATGGAGCCCAACATGACCCCGATTCTCCATCATGGGATGGAAATGAGGAAATGTGACTCTATGAAAATGAAGAACTTTGGAGACATAGTGAGACTGAGACATGATTGATCAACATACTCAAAATAAACATACAAAAAAGATTAAAAAAGGTGACTCTGTTGCCATTTTGTTTGCCAATAAGCATATCGAGCAAGCAAATACACAACTATGGATTTACCCCCGACAAAAAAACACAAAAACAACAGGATTGGATACTTCACCACAAAGAATGCGTTCATACCCCAACCGCAACATGGAGATGTACGCATTACTTAATTAACATAGACTCTGCCAAATAGATCTAGAGAGGGGGTTGGAAGACTACTTTCCACTGAAGGGTGCATCACCAAACTATTTGGATATCAACACTGCCTATACCTCTATCAAATGCTTCCACGGCCTGCGGTAAAAAACAATGACTCGATGCCCGTTGCAGTTTACCCATGAGCAACTTCACCTTCACCACAGGCATCACGAAACATCGACCTTGGCACAGAGATGAGTAGCGTTTTGATTCAGCCGCCCAGACAAGACATATCCGGCATCTTTGCCATTCTTTGCCATCGTCATCGTCGTCATCATCGTCGTCCTCCTCATCATCATCATCATCATCACCAGAGGTAGTAGAGTCATGGAAACAAGAACCTTTTGTTTCAGATCTCTGAGCCGGCGTGCCCTCCAGCTGGGGCTTGCACCCAAAAAGTCAATGGTCGCGACGGAACCTTTCGTTGATGACTTTCCTGATGAAGCAAGGAGAGATGCGGAGAAAAACTGGGTGATGATAAAGATCGAATCAACATGTAGGTAACTCAAATGAACTCTGAACTCGACAAAATAATCAAAATATAGGTTTAATGATGTTTGTGATATTGTTAAAAACTGGCTGATGATGATGCAACTTTTGGTTCATGATATTAAATGATATGAAACTATATATTCAATTGCTGTTTATTGCATATGTTCACAAGTATTAACCAATATTTGCAGAAGCTGCAGCACAGTGCCAGCCTTTAGATGTTAACTCCGCGCCTCCCGGAAATCGCTTTATTAAAAAAAAAAAACACGGAGATCCCCCCCCGAAACATCCCTAAAGCCCAAAACAAGTCTCCGTTAAACCCTAGAAACCACCACAAAACTCATGGTCATCTCGTGAAAAAAAAAAAACATGTTCCACCCAGCTAGACCGGGATCCCAAAAACGCCTCGAGCCAGCCAATCACCTCAGCTATAAAACAAGATGTATTAGATTAGATCACGATGGTGAAGAACGCTAAACATATACTACCTATATAGACCCTCCAAATACCTCAGAAAAAGATAACCATTTTGACATTATGAGTAAATACAATTTTCATGGGCACTTGGAGGGTCTAGGTTATATACATATTATATATGCAGTATATATATATATACATAACACATGAACAATATACTGTATACTGTGTGACTATCACATGATATCATATGCTACCACATGATATCATATTTACAGAAGGCAAGTGTGATTAGTTGGAGGGGTACTCAGCTTGATTCCCTGGCATCAAACATCCTTCAGAACGTCTTCAACCCGCCATGTTTTTGGTCATTTTGCTACGCCCTCCTGTTAAATTTGTGTGATGCAAAACCACACACAAACATACAAAAACTGGACTGGACCCACCCCTGTCATATGCTGGTGCCACCCCATGCAGCGTGCAGTACGAGCCGCGCAGCAACTGCACTTCCAGCTCTTGTTCTCGCCTCAGTCAATTTGTTTCATCATTCGAACCGAAAACATCCAAAAACATACACAATCTACCAATAGTTGATCCGTTTTTGGCTGATCCGCCAATCACTGTGTATATATATACACATTATTATATTATTTTATTTTTGAGGACACGATCCTGAAAAACATAAATGGACTCAACAAATGCGGGTGTAAATACTGTGTCACACTGCGTCAATGTTTGTTCCATTTCAGGGGTTTGAAGTACATCCCGCAACCGTGGCCAATCTTGAACACCCTGCAGTTGTGTTGCTGTTGGTTCGTAAATATTCCCTTTTATAGAAGAAGAACATGTACTAAACTAAACTACTTATCCATGGTTTACCCAGCAACCCTCCCAGTGGCAGAGAGCACGGCTTGCATCTTTTTCTGCAAACTGGGCTTACTTATGTGGCCACAATGGGCCACCGTCGCCCGCGGCAATGCACCCGATGGAGACACTGTTTCTGATGTGAGATTTGAGCTTTGACTTCTTGGAGGGTTTTTTTGCTTCTATATCATCTTCTAATTTGCCTACACACAAAAGGTGGCGGCTAGTGACCATTCTTCCCGAAACATCTTTACAAACAGTTTGACAACAACATCATGATAACATCATGTAAGGTTACCATCTGGTTATTTAACATAGCCATGTATTTCATCCCCAAAATAAATGGAGGTTTCAAACGCTGGGAAAATCATCTATTTCTATGGGCCATTTTCATCCATTTATCCATCTATACCATGGCTATGTAACAAATAACCAGAGGGTAACTCCCAAATTTTCGAGGGCCGCGGCTTCATTGGAAGCTGGAAACTGCATCCTCCAACCTCGGACAACTGCTACGGCTTCGGCACGTGTTTTTTCGGTGTGGACGGTGTTCCCATGTGGAAAGTTGCAACCGATTGACGACATGACATTAATACAACCATATAATATGACGTAAGTTCAGATTGACTATATGTGTTTTTGGATTACCATTCATCATTCCAACTAGCATTTCACCATGCATAACCATCAAAATTGATAGTGATTAGTGTGCATATATTTGTTCTGTTTTTTGTATCAAAAAGAACAGTGATATCCCATTACAGAGTTCCACTGGCGATACCGAATCCGACGTCCGATTTTTTTTGCGCAATTCATCATCGAGGGTATGGGATGGTATCATATTGCAGGGTAGTGTGACAGTACATTCACATGCATATGCATGTATATAAAAACCATACAATACAATGTAATACAATGTATATACTGTATATATATATATATATTATAATGTATTTAATTTATATAATGATGCCTATATATATATATATATATATGTATTCATCGTGTAATTTTTTTCCGTGCAGCGTAGGATATCAGGGTGTCCCAGGATGTCCCTGGATGTCCCAGTTGCCACCGCATCACCGATTTGCAAGCGCGTTGACGAAGGGCCTACACAAAGGACTCGGGATGTTCCATCCAGGCGTCAAACATCACCGAGAAAATCCGAAAAATAGAGACTGTGGGAGTCAAAATCTCACTAACAATTGGAGACTATATTACTAATTAATACTAATTATATTGCATATATTTACGAGACTTGAATGGAGACTATATTACTATATTGCAACATTTGGAAAAATACAGGTCACAAAATCATCCCAAATCCATGATGGAACTACAAATAGTATACGCTTCCGAAATTGCGGCCATTGCATCGGGGCCTGGCAGTCCTGGTATCCATTTCAACGGATCCGTAATTCGATGATCCGAAAATCACATGGATGATTGAACGCGGTACCCCGACATTTTTTAAGCAGCGGTATACCATCTAAATCATGTTATATCATGTTGAATCTATAATTGATTGAGATTCTTGGTTTTGAAGCTCCGCTGGCTGCCTGATGGGCCAAACATGTTCCTAAAACAAATTTGTGGGCTCTTCGGTTTGCCGTCTCTGAGCTCTGTCTCCCCTACTTGGTGGTCTCAACCCCTCTGAAAAGTACCATAATAGTCTCAATCTGTTTTGGGATGTCTGCTCCCAAGCGAATCTGCCCATGGAAAACGGATGAACAAGCGATATGGAAAACATGGCTTTTACATCATATTGTTTCGCGTTCCAAATAGAGCCTACTCCTCTCGTCGGGTTAAGACTGCAGTTTTCACAAGCTCAAATTCATGTGCCGATCTGTGGTTTACCAGGTGCCAGGCGAAGTGGGATTTGTGGTCGGCATATCTAGAGTTCGATGGGATAAAAGAACGAATCTATTCCTGGAGGTCTTTCCTGTATCCATGGCCAATCTTAGATACCTTGCCAAAAAAAATCTTAGCTGGTTAGTAGATAATCCCAGTGATACCAAAAAGTATCTATAGGTTGTTCAATTGATGAAGCTCCTCTATCAATCAGTGAGAGAATTAATAACCATGTATCTACACCATTCAAGAATATCCAGCTTATTTCATCTCTATACACAAAACATCTATCATGCCGTCTCTTTGGGATCAAGATATAAAGGGTAGTATAATCACGAAACAAACCATCCACCAATCATCAATTATATCTGATTTTTTAATGGTTAAAAACCCGATAAATATTGGCTACCCAGGGCCCAATCATGAAACAACTGGGGGTTTGAATCCCAGAATATCCCTATTATGTTCCCATTCAATGATTGTTGGTGATTATTGTGGTTCTATTCATTATCTTGCGGGGCCATCCCATGAAATGAACATATATGAACCGCATGGAACTTTGGGATACTGGCAAAGCTGGGATTATTGGCACATAATACACCAATCTGATTGGTGGTTTCAACCAACCCCTCTGAAAAATATGAGTTCGTCAGTTGGGATGATGACATTACCAATATATGGAAAAATAAAAAATGTTCCAAACCACCAATCAGTATACTACACCAATCCTCTTATTCATGCAAATGTTCATGTGGTTTATGATATAAACCGCATCCACAAGATGGTTACCCCCAAAATCATTCAAGTCATTCGACCATGTGAGTCTTGAAACGTATGGCATGCCATGGGGATTATCCCATTTTAGAAACCCCCATATAGAAAAACCATAGATAAACCATAGTTTACTAACTATACACACTGATTATACTATATCTACTGTAGTTCATCATAGAATCACCTACCTATGGCATAATAACTGGGGATCCCCCATGGAAAACCTCTGGTTACCTAGGAATATTCCTCATTTTCGAAAGCCCCCAAACCACCGGTGGAAACATCCGCGCCTGGCGATCGTCTAAACCATTGAGCCCCAGGCAGCGTGCAGCTGTGAGATGAGCGGAGCGTCCGTCGGAGCCAGGGGACAACAACTGAGTTCCCAAGGCTAAGCTTTGATGCTCCTGGGAATCGACTCACAGGGTGATTAAACATGGGGAATGAACATTGGGATTTCATGAGTGGTGACTTGTCGGATTTGGGAATGAAAATTGGGATAAACAAGATGAGTTTTTGTTTGGGAAAAATGAGGTTTCATACAAGTTCATTGAGGATCTAACGTTATTAAACATGTTTTAATGTTGTTTCTTATGGGGTTTTAAGTGGATATTCATGGGGCTTATCATCAACGATCTGATGAAAACAAAATAATTTTGGTGAGGTTTTAATGAGGTTTACTGGGGTTTTATATAATCCTATAAATGGTTTGAAATTGTGATTTAAGCAACAGAAACAGGAGTGTAAAATGAAGAATTGTGGGGCTGATATTGGGATTTAATGGGATATATAATTTAACAATCTAAAGTTGAAAGCACATATTTCATGGGAATATACAAAAAGATAATGAGAATATGTTCTGCAAAAGTGGAATGCTTAAGCAACCATGATGCTAAAGTTGGGTGACCAACTTTAAAAGTCAAAGTAGGGAGAGACTGATAGATCATGATAGATCTATAATAAGTCACATTTTATGCTACAGTTGTTAGTATAATTCGTAGATTAGTATATATGCAAATTTAGTATAGATAGTAGATTAGTATAGATAGTAGATTAGTAGATTAGTTGTCAGTAAGTTTATCTATATAGATAGATAGATAGATAGATAGAAAGATAGATAGATAGATAGATAGATAGATATATGATATGTATATATATATACAAAAAGTAGATGTTGTTAGTATCATTAGTCTCTGAAAATGCACACCGGTGTCAAGGCCACTTTTTTTGCCAGGCTATGGAACTACCATACGCAGTCGAAAAGACCCCCCTAGGGCGCTGTGAGCGGGCTGGCAATGCTGCGGATTTCCACAGAGCTCACTTGCAAATGGGTGTTGTTATTATTGTTATGCCGGCACCTTCCCCAACCTCCTCCAAATTAAATGTTCTTCAAACGAGTGGCCACAGGCGGAAACGTGGATTTCCACGCAATTCCGATTTTAAAGTCTGGGGTTGTCCCCCATGCTTTTGACCACAACAACTGTGCTTCGTGGGAACGCAAAAACTTATTCGCAACTGTAGTCAAACAAGCACTTTCCCACACGAAATGAAAAGGCAACACCAACCACTTGGTTTGAGGAGAATGAGGTTTCCCTCCCTCACCAAGTCCTTCTCTTATCCAAGTACAACCCTCCCAACACAAAACAGTCTGAACTGGGGGGCAGTACGAAAGTAGTTTGTTGGTAAGGACTGACGGCGAAAAATTATCAATCAACCTACTGACAAACACCTGCCTAGCATTGTCGTAAGCTGAAAAATTCGAACTCAGCCTGCGCAGTCTTCGCAATTCTGCGAACGGCCAGCTGGCATGCACGTGCCATGGGTGTGAGCTGGTGTGACTCAGCGGTACCCCAAGAGATGTTTTTTTGAAATGGGGTTCAAAGGCTATACAAAAAGTCGGTTCGCCATTTACCCCTTTCCGAGTCTGTACATGCAAACCCAAGTCCAAAAACGTGGCTTGGTCTTGGTTTACTGTTTCCACTTCCAATTTGAAACTTCCTGATTTCTCTTTCATGTGCTCATACCAGGCTTTAAAAGGACGAAGATGGTCTTGCTTCACCACCACTAAAATGTCATCTTTAAATCTCCAGTACCCTAAGATACCTGCAGAGTCGAAGATGCCAGGGTTGTCCATCATCCATCTTTCAGCCATGGCGTAAAATGCAGCATCGGAGAGTTCGCCAGAAAAGTTCAAACCCATGCCAGTCCCAACGATCACTTGCCACACCGATTGTGGAAAGTGCTCGGATCGGACGTATTGATGGGACAAGAGGAAATCAATTGCTTCTTTCCCCACGTCTCGAATTTCATCATAGAGTAGTTCAGAGCCACGCTGTCGCAATTCTTCACGCGTGCCAGACATGAAGTAATCCTTGATGTCCACCTTGACAAAAACAAAAGAACTGCTGCTCTGAAACTTTGCCAGCTGTGTCACTAAATCACCAGTATTGCGCAAAATGTGCGGAAGCATGCGCAATGACTTCTGCAAGTTGTGTGCAAGCCACGCTCCCAAGCCAGCAAAGGGGTAAAATGCCCCGCCATGTATGTTGCGAAAAGTGACATGCCCTGCAGGTTTGTGAGATTTCACTGTGACGTTCAGCTGCCGCACCACATGTTGCTCGCCCCCTGCCAGTGACTGCTGCATAGCCCTTGCCATGTTTTCATCACCTTCCAGGGTTGCAACTTTTCTTGCAAGATTGGTGTATTCTCTTGCAAGATTTCGAAACGTAGGAAAAAGGCCCCTGGGGTAAGGCTCATACCATTTCTTGGCCAAAATCTCTTGGTGGACCAAGGACAAATAATGTTTGCTGACCAAGCAGTAGCCGCCATCCTTGTCAGTTGGCACTACTGCCCAAGGTGACTGCCGCAGCCAATGCATAGCCATAGTATCTATCTAGGGGAAGGCGGTTGCGCCAAAGATAATTCCGTCTGGAATTCCTGGAAAGCGCTCTGATGCACGCCCTCCGCAACTGGGAACTGAAGAAGCTTGTCCAGCATCGTAGTTCAGGGGCAACGTCAATTGTCACTGGTGGGTGTAGATTGAAAGCCGGAGACCTAGGCACCCTGAAAGGTACTCTGCTACCGATTCCTCTCAATAACCACTGCCACTGAAGTTTGGTGCAAAACCCATCGACACACTTCATGATATCGCGGAGTTGCGGATTCATCCCACGTGACCAGCGAAACTTTTTGTGAAACCTTCCAAGCAGGAGCGCTACATCCCATGGAAGTAACTCTTTGCCAGGATGAAAAACACTGTGCGACTCTGGGTCGAGACGTAAACATGCAGTCGGAAAACTTCTGCTTGAAGGACTTGGAGCCAATCTTGCAAGCTAGCCCCATGCATCAGCTTCCGAAATTCTGTGGTGACACGGTCTGGATTGTTCAGGGCTTTCCGCCCTTCCCTCCAGGCTTTCCTCCTTTGTGTTTTCTTGGCTTGTCTGATGTTGGCCCAAGGTTGTGAAAAACTTGGCTTGGGCCGTAGCTGCCACCTTTGCCTGCATGTTTGCCACCTTTACTGCCTTTGCCCTTGCCTTTATGTTGGGCTGGTTGTTGTTGTTGTTGTTGTTGCTGCGGCTGCTGATGTTTGCCTTTGCCCTTGGATTTGCTACTGTGTGTTGGTGGCTGTGCTTGGTTTTGTTGGGAACTCTGTCCGGCCCCATCGGTTTTCCCTTTACCTTTGGAACCTTGTGCTTTCCTGGCGGCAAGTTGGGATTTGGTGAACCTCCTCTTGCTTTCAGCCTTTTTGTTCCAATCAATGCATTCAGCCGGGTTGCAGCGGGAAGCTGCCGCTTTGGTGTAATCAACCCGTGGGTCAACCTGTTTTTTGGCTATGTTGGAGAGAGCTTGTTTAACTGCACTCTCAAAATGGTCTTTGGGGTCCTTTGCTCGGATTGCTTCTCTGAGCTTTGCTTGTTCTTTAAGTTCCCTTTCTGCTGCTTTGTCACTATCAACTTTCTTTTCTGCGATCTTGTTCACCATGGCCAAGTATAGTTTGAGAGCTTGGTCCTTTCTGACCTGGCTAGTATTCGATAATCCCGGTGGTAGTGTCAGCCCAAGGCTTTGCAATGCCTTGACATGTTCATCCTCTGGCTGGTGGGCACTCGCCATGAACTTCTCAAAGGATGTGGATTCCTGCAAGGTCTGCACATATTCCTTGGTAACCTCCAAATCAATCTTTTTGTGAAAAGAGGCCATGTGGATGTGCATGATTTCCAGAGCTCTTTTCCTGGTTGACCCCTGCGGTATCACGACTTCCAGGCGAAGTTCTTGCTGTACACTTTCTGAGAAGCTATTGTCAAGTTCAGGCTCACTTCCAGGGGTAAAAGGGCGAACTCGAGAAGGGTAGTGACCCCCCAAAAGTGTCCTTCTGCTGTTTCTCTTGTCTTTTCATTGCCCTCTGCAGTTTCTCGATTTTGTCAGTAAAAGAACGGACAATCTGGCGCATGCTGCTGAGAAGCATGGATGGTAGAGAAGCCCCTAGAGTTTTTTGAACAAGATCAGCCTGTGAGCTATCCTGTTGGTTCTGCCCTGCATCTCTCATATCTTGGTCTGGTAGATCATTTCTTCTGTTGGCCCTATCTGCACTTCGGCTCCTTGCCCCTTCATCCATGGATCCAGCAAAGTCGTCGAAACTCAAGGGCATTCAACGGGGACCGCACCGTGTGATCACACTGAACAACAACTCTGAAAATGCACACCGGTGTCAAGGCCACTTTTTTTGCCAGGCTATGGAACTACCATACGCAGTCGAAAAGACCCCCCTAGGGCGCTGTGAGCGGGCTGGCAATGCTGCGGATTTCCACAGAGCTCACTTGCAAATGGGTGTTGTTATTATTGTGGTTGTTGTTATTGTATTGTATTGTTATTGTTGTTGTTGTTGTTGTTGTTGTTGTTGTTGTTGTTTTTGTTGTTGTCGTTGTCTTTATTGTCGTTATTGTTGTTGTTGTTGTTGTTGTTGTTGTTGTTGTTGTTGTTGTTGTTGTTGTTATTGTTGTTGTTGTTATTGTTGTTATTGTTGTTATTGTCGTTATTGTCCTTGTTGTTGTTGTTGTGATTGTTGTTGTTATTGTTGTTATTGTTGTTGTTGTAGTTGTAGTTGTTGTTATTGTTGTTGTTGTTGCTATTGTTGTTGTTATTGTTGTTGTTATTGTTGTTGTTGTCGTTGTTGTTGTAATTGTTGTTATTGTTGTTATTGTTGTTATTGTTGTTGTTGTTGTTGCTGTTGTTGTTGCTGTTGTTGTAGTAGTAGTTGTTGTTGTAATTGTTGTTATTGTTGTTATTGTTGTTATTGTTGTTGTTGTTGTTGTTGTTGTTATTGTTGTTGTTGTTGCTATTGTTGTTGTTATTGTTGTTGTTGAGGATCTAACGTTATTAAACATGTTTTAATGTTGTTTCTTATGGGGTTTTAAGTGGATATTCATGGGGCTTATCATCAACGATCTGATGAAAACAAAATAATTTTGGTGAGGTTTTAATGAGGTTTACTGGGGTTTTATATAATCCTATAAATGGTTTGAAATTGTGATTTAAGCAACAGAAGCAGGAGTGTAAAATGAAGAATTGTGGGGCTGATATTGGGATTTAATGGGATATATAATTTAATAATCTAAAGTTGAAAGCACATATTTCATGGGAATATACAAAAAGATAATGAGAATATGTTCTGCAAAAGTGGAATGCTTAAGCAACCATGATGCTAAAGTTGGGTGACCAACTTTAAAAGTCAAAGTAAGGAGAGACTGATAGATCATGATAGATCTATAATAAGTCACATTTTATGCTACAGTTGTTAGTATAATTCGTAGATTAGTATATATGCAAATTTAGTATAGATAGTAGATTAGTATAGATAGTAGATTAGTAGATTAGTTGTTAGTAAGTTTATCTATAGATAGATAGATAGATAGATAGATAAATAGATATATGATATATGTATATATATATATATACAAAAAAAAAGTAGATGTTGTTAGTATCATTAGTTGGGCCATGACTCCGTGGATTGCTGGAATGACCCTCCCATGGAAATCCAACGGAATTCCGCCTTCACTCACTAAAAGCTGGCTTATGATTTTTGATGGACCGGTACGGGGATCATCATATGAATCATCATCCATCTTGGTTCAGCATGGTGCGGTGGAACGTTCCGGATTCGTGGGCTTCCACTGAACATCACCATGGCCAATCCACGATATCCTCCTAGCCATACCCCTTGGTGAACAACTGGGGCTCTGGATCTCTTTTGTGAGGTGAAGACACACTTTTCAGTGGTCAACACAGCCGAACATGCTACGGAATAGAGAATCTGTAAATTGAAAAAATGGTTCCACTATAATTCCTGATGAGATGTTTCTTATAGTTTCTATGTACAGAGGCATCTTGACTTGGCTCATTTATGTCTGCAATTCCACGGAAAGGAGGATGAATTCTCCAAACAAATGCCTGCGATTTTATGAGAAGAGCATGATTTCATCATAGGCATAGGGGCACCAAACAAATCTCCATATCCGAACGATTTGCAAAAAGAATCACTTCTTTTTAACTAGGAAACTGCAAGAATCGTTCTGCACAGATCCTGAAAACACATTGTGAAGTGAGAAACATTTTAGTCAGGCACCATCTACCTGTTTCAAGCCTGGTTGGATTTGAGTTTTCCATAGTTTTCCAGCCCCGAGTAAAACATGCAGCTGTGCAAAGCTTGCGCGCTTTTCTTGCCCCCTTAGATTTTTGTGAATCCACGGCTAAATGTTCTGGAATACTCTTTCCATGTACTGTTGCAAAAGCTCAAGACCTTGTTTGCCAAATTTGAATGCACGTTGTTTCCACACAGGTCTTTCTTCCGGTGCATTGTAGTTTGTTAGATTTGTTTGCCATGTTGAAGAGATTGAATGTCTCTGCAGACTCCCTGCAAAACAACTTGAACACAGCAAAATACTCTACGGGTTTGTCTGACAACGGGGTATTAAATGATGACAATGAACTAGATTTGAGAATACAATAGTTCTCATCAAATCACCCAAAGGGAGACAAGGATGAAGACAAGTAGGAAGTAGACAAGAGATGGAAAGACCGCCGGGCCAACATCGCAATGAGGTGATTACGAAGTAAGCTGCTGAAACTTCGCCCATGTTAGGTGATGTTGATGATTTTTGGGTGGGTGTTGGTGTGCGCAATCAACTTTCATTTCAACATATGTCACATTTCCGGCGGATTTTGTCCAAAACGGATACTGATACATAAAGGTAATTATATATATAATATATATATAATATAATAATATATATTAAATATATATATAATAATATAATATATAATAATATATATATATATAATAATATAATATATATATATAATAATAATAATAAATATATATTATATATAAATAATAATATATAATAATATAATATATATATCATATATATAATTCATATAATATAATAATATATAATAATATATATAATATAATAATATATATAATAATATATAATAATATATAATAATATATAATAATATATAATAATATATAATAATATATAATAATATATAATAATATATAATAATATATATAAGAAATATATATAATAATATATAATAATAATAATGATACCCTAAGGATCCCAAACACACGATGAGATGATGATTGACATCTCAGAACCATGATGGTGAGATCAAAATGTGGAAATCCTTTGCGCTCATGCTCACAAAAATGTAGAATTCACATTTTTCCCAAGATCATCATAACCTTTCATTAAACTCATTCCTGGCCTGCTTGGCTGGCTTCATGATCTCGTTATCAGCTGATTCTTTGATAAAAACCCATCAACAATCACAGCCCTTTGTATTTTCTCTCACGCAGATCAATTTCCAGAGTGCACACAGCACCTAATTGGCATCACTTGACGAATCATCCTCATTCACTATCTCGTTGTGACTCTTTTGCCTGGGATTGGCATCATGCACCCCTGCAAACTAAATATGTTTATATGGTTCAAAAAGAAGAAAGCACTTCATACCCATATTTGTGGGAGAAACAATGCCATTGAAATGCGAAGGGGCCCAACATAGAATCGCTTCAAGGCTATGAACTCAACTGCAGAATTGTTGGCCGAAGCAGCAACCACCGCCAAACGTCCTATAAAATCTTCAGGTTTGTACCCTTGAAAGAAGCGATGGTTGAGACCTAGTCAAACTGGCAGGGTTCACACAGAGAATGAAGCATTGGGCGAGGGATGTACCCATCAATATGACTCGAGAAGTAAACGGTTTCAGGGGTAAAACTCAAAAGGCATGGTTTCGGTGTTTTGGATTTCAATTTAAAAAAATCAAAATCCAAAACGCCATTAAATATTTCTAAGGGACAGTCTTGAACTTGGATAAAGGCAAGCTCCTGGTATGCCTCGGACAATAAAATCAAAAAAACATATCCTCCATGTTGCTCGAACACTTATGGGTGAACAAACCCTTTTAAAATTCAAGTGCATTTTTTGGTCGGAATGAGCAAACTAACCAAGTTACATGCAGTTTGGGTCGAATGGGAAACAGCAGCTCATTCGCCCTGACGGCCTTGTCAGCCAGGGACAGGTAGTACACCAAGCACCCATCACAGTGTCGCTGCAACTGCAACGCATTCTCTGGGGTGAGATATCGACCCAAAAGCTCAGTATTTCGATGCCACTCAGCCAAGTGCCACCTTAGCTAGATTGCATCAATTATCAGCTGTTAATTTTGGAACGGTATGATATCAAACCTACCTACCTATCCCACCAGCATGTGATATAATAATCATCATCCCATATATATAATTATATTGTGTGATTGGGATCCCCTACATAAAACCCAAAACCAAAGAGTTGTAAAAAACAACACAAACATGTTGTCGGAAGAAAAGTCACGTACAAGATGCAAGAAGAGGAATCCATTCATCATCCTGGTACACACCGTTCGCTAAACCCACAACCACCTCACAGAGCCATGCCAGCATCACTCGAGCCTCAAGGTTGAGGTCAGGCCAAATTCGAAAAGGGACTGGATGGAGATGATATAATATATGTTAGACCCTGTGGTAAAGAAGACTGCTTTAGTTTGAGTTACCCTCTCACTTAATCCATCCAAGTAACATTGTAGGCCTTGCTTTGCAATTCTGGCCAGGGATGCTGTTTGCTTCTAAAGCGCCAGGGGCGGAACTTGGGCACCGAATGCCTTAGCAGTATGATTGCCATAAAATACTGTAACTTGCGGGGACAAACAATAACCTGAAACAGATCTAGGGATCACAAAGGATGTTTAAAAGCAAAATTAGTTATTTTTGCCAGGTTGCTGAACTTTGTTGGTTCTAGCCCAAGTCCGGAAATCATCATATGCTATCAGCAAGCGATCCCCTTCATCCATATCTGTCCCTCCAAACAAATCGTATTCGAACAACTTCTTGATGACACTGGCAATCACCCACAGATCAGCCCCCAGGTTGATGGTGTGCATACCATCCCATCGAATCATCTCAACTTGAAAAGCTGGGAGTTGAAGTAAGGGGCCTCAGATTTACTCAACACATTATAGGGCATCAAAAACTAGTTTGATCCGATATTTGAAAAAGTGTTTTTTGGGGGGAAACTCGATATAAATTAATATATATATATTGTTAAGTTTCGTGGGTCAAGGGGGAAAGGGGTAAAAAAGGAAATAAGGGGAAAAAAAGGAAATAAGAGTTTTTTTTCCCGTTGGATTCTTCCTTGCCTATCTTCTGCAAAATTGGTTAGAAAAGGGTGAAAAAATCAACATAAATAGTCGTAGCAGTGGCTGCGGCATTGGAAAATTGAGTGAAAAATGCGCAAACCAAAGCGTTTTGCGTGGTTTTTGAGTTTGTATAAATTTTTGTTGTTTTCCCTTGGTGTTCCTGGATGTTTTTTGCTTCATGTTGGGACTGGATGTGTTTTGTTTAGTTAGGGAAAAACAGTAAAAGGTGAGGAATCAGTGAGGAATTCAAAGGTTTTTAGCATTTTGGGGCTTTTCTGCATGAGTTGGAACAAGTCTTTATTTCTTCTTTCGGTGGCGTATGGACACTGAAAGGTTTTGCCTTGGGCGGCAATGTTGTGAATCTTGCCGGGGACAGATAAACAAACACAGGTTTTGTCACTTTTGTCGGATTTTGTCGCATTTTTCAATTTTTCTAGATTTCTAAGTTGGTGTCATTGTTTTTCCAAAGGTTTGGCCGGCTTTAGGCTTTTGATTTGTTGAGAGGGTTGCCTTGAACAACAAACACTTTAGATTTTCTTGGATAAAAGTGAAGCATAATAGCGATTTGCGTTTTCAAAGGGGCAAACTTGTAGACCGGACAGGAAAGAGTGCGACCCCGGCTTTGAGTCACGACAAGTTGGTGGATGGGTATAGCAGTGGCGCTGTGGTATTGAGTTGAATGACATGGATTGACAAATCTCAATAGACATGAACATGGCTTCCTGGTTTCAGAACTGAACAAACAGGTGTTTTGAGCAGAACCGTGGCTGCGGGGGCTATCTGTTCCATAAAGTTAGATGCGAATGCAAATGCCGAACGCAGGCGACGAGTGCCGAGTGACAAGTGACAATCTGCTAGTCTAATCTAATCCGCTCTCTTACGGACAGTATACAATTGACAGACTGACATCTTCACTTCGACTTCAAGGATTCAGGGGGCCAATGATCAAGGAATCAAGGGATTTGAGTCGACGATTTGAATATTTGAGATTTGAATCGTTTCGAGTTTTACTTTGTCCCAAGGCCCAAGGCTCGAAGCCAAATTCGAAGACTCAGACTCAGATGATTCAGATCAACAAACAAACTAACATCTTGATTTTGTGTGTTTTTTTGTTGATGTTGATTCGTTCGTTCCTCGTTTTGTTCACAGAAGGTGATATAGCTAACATGAAACTCCTTTTAGGTGTGAGCTCACATCCAGCAAAAACTTAGTAAACAAAACAATTTCTGTATTAAAGTGGGCCAGGGTAAAAAGCAGTTCCTAAGAAGGTGAGTGTTTCCACGTCCTGTTTGCGGCTCAGGCCGGCCTCGAAAAAAAACTAAGGCCCAGCAAAAAAAAGGTTTTCCGGGGCCAGATTTGAGGATTTGAAGGTCAGGGCGGACCCTAAGTTTTTCACGGCTCAGGCCGGCCCGCGCCGCTGTCGAAAAATTAAGTTCCAAAAAAAAGGACTTAATTTTTTCGGTATCCCGTTGGCGGGCCCGGGCCCCCGCAGAAAGATTAAGTTCCAAAAGAAAAGAACTTAACTTTCTCCGCGTCCCATTTGCGGCTCGGGCCGGCCCGCAATCGAAAAATTAAGTTCCAAAAAAAAAACTTAATTTTTTCGGCGTCCCATTTGCGGCTCGGGCCGGCCCGGGCGCCGCCGAAAAATTAAGTTCCAAAAAAAAAGAACTTAATTTTTCCCGCGTCCCATTTGCGGTGCAGGCCGGCCCGAGCGGCCGCCGAAAGATTAAGTTCCAAAAAAAAAGAACTTAATTTTTTCGGCGTCCCATTTGCGGCGCGGGCCGACCGCCGCCGAAAAATTAAGTTCCAAAAAAAAAACGGGCTTAATTTGTTCGGCGTCCCACGTGCGGCTCAGGCCGGCCCGGGCGCCGCCGAAACATTCAGTTCAAAAAAAAGGGATTCAATTTTTTCGGCGTCCCATGGAGTCCCATGTGCGGCGCAGGCCGGCCCGAGCCGCCGCCGAAAAATTAAATTCCAAAAAAAAAGAACTTAATTTTTTCGGCGTCCCATTTGCGGCGCGGGCCGGCCCAGGCCGCCGCCGCCGAAAAATTAAGTTCAAAAGAAAAGAGGTTAATTTTTTCCGCGCCCCATGTGCTGCTTAGGCCGTCCCGGGCCACCATCGCAAAATTGAGTTCCACAAAAAAAGAATTTTGTTTTTCCGGCGTCCGATTTGGTACTCGGGGCTGAGTGCGGGCAGGCTTTTTCTACGAGTTTTTTTTGGTCCGAAAAACCTGATATGGGGCATCCTGGACGGGAAAAAAAATTGGAAAAATTATTTCCCCGAAAAAAATCTTATTTCCCAAAAAAAAATCTTAAGTTCCAAAAAAAAAGAACTTAATTTTTGGCCGGGTTTTTGAAGAGAGTTCCCCGACCAAAATATAATCGTTTTTGCATCAAAACCATGGATTTTGAGCGAAATTTTGCCGTAGAAACTTGCGTTGAGGAAGTCTGGCTACGATGAAAAGTTGCTCAAAATCCATGGTTTTGATGCAAAAACGATTATATTTTGGTCGGGGAACTCTCTTCAAAAACCCGGCCAAAAATTAAGTTCTTTTTTTTTGGAACTTAAGATTTTTTTTGGGAAATAAGATTTTTTTCCGGGAAATATTTTTTCCAATTTTTGTCCCTTCCAGGATGCTCCATACCAGGTTTTTCGGACGAAAAAAACTCGTAGAAAAGGCCTGCCCGCACTCAGCCCCGAGTACCAAACCGGACACCGGAAAAACAAAATTCTTTTTTTGTGGAACTCAATTTTGCGATGGTGGCCCGGGACGGCCTAAGCAGCACCTTGGGCGCGGACAAAATTAAGTTCTTTTTTTTTGGAACTTAATTTTTCGGCGGCGACCCGGGCCGGCCCGAGCCGCAAATGGGACGCGGAAAAAATTAAGTTCTTTTTTTTTGGAACTTAATTTTTCGGCGGCGCCCGGGCCGGCCGGAGCCGCGAATGGGACGCCGAAAAAATTATATTTTTTTTTTGAGCTTAATTTTTCGGCGGCGCCCGGGCCGGCCTGAGCCGCAAATGGGACGCGGAAAAAATTAAGGTTTTTTGTTTTGGAATTTAATTTATCCATTTCAGCTCCGCAAAAGGGACGCCGAAAACATAAATTCTTGTCTTCAATTTGTTTCTTTGACGGCTGTGGTCAATTCATGTGGGGAAGTGTTTCTGTGGGCTGTGGCATTGCGGGCCGTTTTTTTCTGGATGCGGGCGCGCGCCCAACAAGAGTTTTTAAGTTCACCTGTAGTGAGCCCACAAAAACTTGGCGCCTTCGGCACCTCTATCCTTGGTTTGGTTAGCAGCAGCAAACAAACTAAATACAAGACCCGTACAGGGCCAAAACGGAAGTTGGTTTTGGAAAAATTAGGCGCCTTCGGCGCCAACAACCTTTTACAAAAATTGCTGTGGCCGGAGTGACAGTCATGGCCGTGTGATTTGGGGGGCCTCGGCCTCAGTTGGCTACTCTCTGGCCGCAAACCATGCGCAGAAAGGAAAAACGTAAATGTTTGAAGCCAGGAGTTTGAATTCGGGCAGCGCCCTCGTGTAAGCATTCGGGGCCCGCCGGGCTAGGATGCGTTACGGCGTGCCGACGCTTTGGATTCGAAACCAGGGTTGAGTTCCGTGGTAAATAAATTTTGCACGGTCCTGTTCTGTCATTGCGTGATGTTTGCTAGTCTGCGCTTTTTTTTCCTTCGCAGACTTTGTGGATGCCTGTGGATTTTAGCGTGTTTTTCCTTGGGCAGTGCTTTGGCGCTGCTCTAGGAGACCATGACCCACGAAGGGCAGAATTGTAACAAGCCACAATGATAAAGCCAAGTGGCAGCCCTGGTTTTTCGAAAAACCTTGCAACTTTTCACCACGTTGTTTGTTGAAACAAAAACGTAGTGGAAGATTGGTTTTGGCTGGTCTTAACTACCTTTGTTTTTGGGGGAAAAATTGGTTTTGGCTGGTCTTAACTATCTTTGTTTTTTTTGGGGCTAGCCTCACATGGTGGGCGCCGCCATGCCGATGCCAGATGCATCGCTGTTTTCTTTTTGAGCTGGATTTTTTTCGCCGCCGTCCTTCTTGAAAAGATTGGAAAACTCAAGCCGCCCAGCCCCACTCTACCCGCAATCGTTCATCGTCCTTCGACAGCTGTGGTCCGGTGACTTGTAGTACAGACGCATGGTTTGGCAGCGTTTCTTTGTTGCTGTTCTTGCAAAGAAACTTGGTAGACGCCGGCTGCAGCGGTTATTTTTCGCATTCTTGCTTGAGTTTTTTGGATTTTTGAGTTTGTCGTTTTCAGGGTCAATGGGTTCGAGCGCGCGGCGATACATTGTGCGCGCATGAGGGTGCCGAGGGCTAGTGAAAACGCTGTTTCCTAAAATATTCTTTATATGTTACTTATCAAATAGCTTTTTCAATCAATTTCTCAGCAATAAAGCGATTGCGCCCAAATTTTGCCCAAAAAAAACGAACAAGGCGCTGACTAAGGCGCTCTAAGCTGCAAACAAGCTTTGGAACGCGTTTTCGCTGTATGGATTGTGCTCGTAGTTTCCCTTACATTTGCTAGTTTTTGGTGGTTTCCTATCTTTTGAGTCGTTTTTGCTGGGTTTTTTCAAATTTACATACATTTTGCGCCGACCTTATTTTTCCAGTGTTGCCACAGCGTGATTTTTTGGAAGAGAAAAAACATTATTTCCCAAAAAAACCTTATTTCTTTTTTTATTTTTTCTCCAGGCTAAAAACCCTGGACCCACGAAACTTAGCAATATATATATGTAATATAATTTAATGATATATGATGTTGCCCTAACCCTCAAAACCTACTCAATCTCAAGAAGGGTCTGGGATCAACACTCTTGCAACACTCAGCAATAAAGCTGTCAGTAGTGTGACGGAAATCATCTTGTAGTCTGCATGGTGCAGTCAAATAGTTTGGTGCTCGTACTCGGCATAGATGACATGGGGATTTGCAGAGATAGTAACAAGTCAGCTGCAACCATTCCTTGGTGGATAAGGGCCCCAGATGTATTTCAGATCTAGTGGGCCCCCAATAATGGACTCGAAGTGTTTGATCCCACAGCCACTTGATTTTGGAATGCTGTTATTGTTATCGGATAGCAGGTTGTAGCTGGATATCGATTTGATGGGTTACTAAACTTGCACTCACACAATGGACCCCTATTTGAATTTTCATGAATGGGGTCTGAACATGTCGGCCTAGTATCCGCCTGCCACTTCCAGTCACCCCTGATTTCAGTGACCGCAAAATGCACATGCTGACCACCAGGCACAGATGCTCCATCCTCATACAAGGATGTCAAGGATGCAACTACCTGAGGCCAGGGATGGGTGCAAGGAAGGTAATCGTAGTTTCACCAAAAAACCATTTGGTTTAATATTAGCTTTAAGCACTAGTGGGAAAATAAGATAAAGATGCAAGTTACAGCTTCCAGGATTCCACGCACGGTTGGAAACCCAGCTTTCAATTCCTGAAGTAGCTCATATCTTGAACAAATCATGTTTGATATGTTTTTCAATCTTTGAGGAAACGAAAGAAACAAATGACTTGCTAACCAGTAAAACAACGTATATAGCATATGTTAATGATGACCAGCATCGGAACGACAGATGCTCAGTGGATAGCATGATTCGATGCTATGTTTCCGGTTGTCTAACACAGCTCCAATGCAAATCAGCATGATTTCGTCACCATTTTCACGATACTGTGCTTCGTCTCCCCATATCCAGAGGGGGTAGTGGTTCTTCTCGGGGCTGATCTTGGCAAGGGGGCTGTTGACCTTTGAGAGGTGATCCCAATAGTGCTTGATTTCAGACTCATCAATGTGGGGCAACAAGTCAACCAAGTCGTGTGGCATGACCACTGGAAGGTTCCTGCAATCCCAAATAATCCCAACATCTCCCAACATACCATCCAAACTCACTTGATATATATAAAAATATATGGGGGTTAAAGCTGATACAAACATTTTTTTTTGATACCCAGGTCCTGTTTTCTACGCCATTTGGTCCTCGTTGTTTTTGGACAGGAACACTGATCGAATCAATTTTCACCTGCTGGAGCACATGTAGTCATGTATACATCCCTAAACCATATATATATATATATATATTAGGGATGCACACATGAGATTAATCCCCAAAAAATTGGTAATTTCAAAAGAAAATGTATAAGTACTGGACCTGGTCAGGATCATGCTTGACCACCTTCCTCAAAATATCCCGCTGAACATTCGAAGAGAACTTTCCACGGCACCCAGCTGATGACAAAGAAGCACAAGGCCCTTGAAGTTTGACTCCATGGTGTTTGAACTCCTGCAATGGCACAGTTGTCAGTAACAACACGGTCGTTGGTGGAGCCACCAAGCATTACTCAGGAGGAAGCTGATACGGATTCAAATGCCACAAGTTTGGATAGACATGAACACATGGCTATTCTCGCTGAAAGATCGCTGGATGGAGAGTACCGGGGATCCCAACTGGCTTTGCACACTCTTGTCCACTGTCAGTCACTCAAAAGTCCTTGCGGACATAGTGCATTAACTTCTGTGTTTTCGCGAATGAATTTTCCTTAGCTAGCTGGTGCCAGCACTGGTGTGGTTGCAAATCCTGGTTTGTTCATGGAACCAGGGATTATACATTATACAATATTCATTAAATATATATATATATATATATATGTACCATGTATAAATAAATAAACAAATAATAAATATATATATATATACATATGAATGAGAAGAAACAGATTTTCACTGATTGGGATCCCCTGGCTATGAACAAATATATATTTATCATATCAAACCACCCACGGTTGACAGTAACTTGGAAACAAGTGTCACCAAGGCCCGCTTCTTTCAGTAGGAAGGCATACAGGGGTGATGATCGATCATCTCTCACTGCAGCACCTGCGAGGGGGCACTGAAAGGGTGAAAAGTAAAGTCCATAAAAGGAAGTCCTATTACATTAATAAATGCAAATACCCAAATTGGGTTATAATGGGTCTTTGAATTCAATCAACATTGAGCAATGCACATTCTACCATGGCTTATGTTTTAAAATTAGGACTCACCACAGCCCAACTTGTTTTTTCTCCCAAAGATTCAGCACTCGATATCACTCGATGCTGCAGCAGCGGTTGCAATGAAGCACCACCAAAATTTAAAATGAGGAGCTGCCTAGCACACGGGTTCCATCTCAAGCAACAGGTTTGGTATGGTTCAAATATTATTTATCATATAATATGTTCTAGACCTCATGGTGTTGTAATATGTTATTGATGATGTTGTAGGTTGTATCATTCCCAGATCTGTGCCACAGCACATGGGTTAAGGATCGCCCTAACACCACCCCATCACACACACAAACGAGCCCCATGACTCTCAAACCGCGGGTTTCCCATCAGGAAGACCAGCTCCATCTCCACCGTTGCCATCTTCAGCAGAGACCAGCTCCATCTCCACCGTTGCCATCTTCAGCAGGCTTGTTGGGAATGGCCTTGGCCTTCGCCTTGGCTTTGGCCTTCGGCGGGTCCTGGGCTGCTGAATGATGCATAAGCATATATATACAATAAAAAAATGTATGAATATATTGGATTTGAAGGTAGATGATATATATATATATGTATAGTACAGCTTGAATGCTGCAACAGGTGCTGGGACACATCGATGATTGCGGCCTGAAACAGCATGACTCGAACCTATTGAGAGTCCATTGAAACCTATCCAATCTATCCAGTTGATCTGGGTTTCCACCAAGCAGACCCATCCCAGGATCTTCAATACAGATGCCTACCAAGGCGACAACTGGCAGATCTCAACAACATGACTTCCATTAACTATTGACTTAGTTAAGTCAGCAGGAGCTGCTGAGTGTGTGATTTGTTTTGACGCCTCATGTCCAGAAACCCAAAATCATAGTTTTGATATAACGAATTGTTTCTGAATAATCCCAGGGGTTTGGCTAGGCTCAAAGGCTTAAGGCAACCCAAACAATAATATGCATCCTAGTTTCCACAACTGCTTTGATTGATCTCACCGAGCCATGGTAACTTGTTACAGCACCCTCGGCCTGGCGAATCCCAGCTAAGCATTCCTCCTTCAATTGCTGGAACTCGGGAAGATCAATCTTGGAATCATCCACCCTTTTGCCATACAACCTCTCCAATTCCACTCTCGCATCCTGGAGCGACTTGTAGCGGCCGTCCAACTCCTTCTTGAAGCCACCCAACAATTGATCAGTCCTGAGTGGGGCATATTGACAACACATATGTTTAATATCTGTTTTTCAAAACAAAGATTGATATTCAGCAGGGTTATTTAATTATGTTTAGTTGCACCAAAACATGAAATTCTATCCAGATGATGGGAAACCCCACCCACATGTAATTAGCAAAACTATGATCAATTCCCAAGATGTTCCGATATGTGGGCATAAAAAAATAACAAATTAACCTTTGTGGGGCTAAAGCATCTGCAAGTAACAACCCAGCTGTGTTGTCTTTCAATTTGCTTTGCCACCCCAGGATTTCGGTCAACTTTTGTGAACATGTAGCAATGTTCGAACTCAACTTTTTGGACACAGGAACAGCTTTCTTCTTGGGCTGGGCTTTTGGCTCAGGCGGACCCTCCCCAGCTCTACCACTTCCCCCGCTGGAGGTGCCAAAACCTTGGAACTGCATGTGCGGGGCCACCATCTTCTGCCTTGGGACGAACACTTGGCCAAGTTGATGGGTCCGGCTGGAGCTTGGCAGTCTGGGAGTTGATAAATTTAATTCGATTATGTACCATAAGTGGAATCAGGGCCATCTTGAATTTCTTTGCATGTCTATCGGACCCATGTGGTAAGCTTCATTCCTGATTTTGTTTTGGCAGTTCGTCCCATTATATATAAGAATTCATAGTACTACCCAGGTCATCTCAGAACAACTCATTTTAGAGAAAGATTCTTTACCCACAACCCCATCTAAGTATAGAAACCTGAGTTAAGTTTGTACTTTTGTTCTTGTTGGGGGTCCTGATGGTTGAAGCCCGGTTGCAACAGACCTTTAGTATCTTTCTCATCGATAGCACCAGTGGCCCTCAAGTTCATGGCCAAGGATTGCTCCTGCTCATCCTCCTCTTCCATAGAATCCCAAATTCGGCATTGGGCCCACTCCTAGGCTGAAGGAAAATTACCCAGGGATGAATAGATTTTGACTCCGCTGTGGCACTTGTAAATAACTAGCTATAAATCATATTTTGGGGGCAAAAATCATAATCAAATAGATATAGATAAGAATCTTCACTGTCCGGTGCATCAGGATGGGGCATGTAGTAGACAGTGGGATCATTTTTTGGTTTCTGTTGTTCCTGCACCTGCTTTTCCTTAAGGATTGAGGCTGCCAACGGAACCCCAAATTTCGACTTGAGGTCTTTGAAAGCAACCATTCTGTGTTTACCCCGTCTTTTCAACGTGTTCGACTGGGTCAAGTTCACGTACACTGTGCTCTGCATCCAGTTTTCACCAGATTGCAAATAGTCCTCGAACATGTTTTGGACCAGCTTGTCTTTGCCTAAGCCAGCCATGAAATTGAGACCCGCGCCCATGGTATGGAAGATCGGCTAAAAACCATGTGGCTTACAGCTGGTGGACCATATATATCAAATAAAGCAATGAACTGTTGGTAATGTTTCCACCATGCACATGAACCTGTACCAACGATATGAAATCATCATACCTTTTTTGACTTGATTTTGATTTCACAATCATGGTTCTGATATGTCAACCATTATCATCTAGTATCATGTAATTGGAATCCCCTGGGTGTAACCAAATACCTGAAACACTAACAAAGTTCCAAACAAGTTAATCTTTAACATGTTCCAACTGCAAGCCCTTAGCGCATCAGACCGCAGCAGCCCAGGAACTTCCAGTCCTGGAGTTGTAAAGATCCACAATGGCTTTCGGGCAGTTTGGTCCTGCAGGCAAATAGAGCAGCAGCTGTGGGATTGTGGGAATATAAGCTTCCATTATATATTAAACTAAGTATCTTTGAAAACGTGTTGGGAACCATCTTGAGACACTATTGGACATACCACATCCTGTGACCGATCGGTTGAACCTCATGCGAGCATTTCTCATTAGCCTTTGAATGTGTGTTGCCTCATCTTCACGCACTCCACCTGGACCTATGAAGTGGATTCCGTCTGGGGTCATGATGGCATCATCATCACCAGCCCACTTTGCATGGAGCTCTCGGACAGCTTGTTCCTAGCAAGCTTTGGGGGAAAGATCACTACTAGTGGCTTTTATCAACCCAACGATTTGCATACCATGCTGGTTTTGACAAAGATCATTGTCTCATCATTTGATTTGGAACATATATATATATATAGATAAACCTGATGAATTATGTATTATATATATATACACACTTATTTTATATGTATCATCTTTACATACGGTGCATTTATATATGAATAAATATTTGTTGTATGAAATTAACATATAATATATAATATTAATATTTGCTTACTGATCCCTCCATGATATCACCCTTGGTTCCCAAATCCCTGGCCTCCAGCCGAGTGGTGTCCAATCTTTTCAGTCCAGCCACAGCTGTTTGCAAAGGCTGCCGCTCGTCACCAGCATCCGTGTGAGAAGGCTCCCCACTGCCCGGAGTGGACTCATCAGCTGGACTCGTCTCCACCTGTGATATATCGGGGCATATGTAGATATTTATAATATATATAGAGAGAGTATCTTCATAGTTTGAACTTTGAACCATAAGCAGCATTTCTTATATCACTGGGTGCTTGTTATTTTTTAATATATCATGGTTTGATGTATAGGACCCCAGCCTCAGCATCTGGACAGGGTGTAACTGCCGAAGCTTCTAGAACAGCAAAGAGTGCAGTCTTCTGGGGCCCATCAGGTAAGGAAGCAATGGCATTGAGGGCTGCAGTGTTAGCCATATCCCCCGGAGCCATGACTTGATTCCCTTCTGACACTTTCTTTGGGGATAGATCCAACTTCTCAAACTCAGCTTCAAGTTCCCTCATCAGTGAAGCTTGCTCGGGGTCATCCATTGCTTGATCACGCATGGACACCCCATAAAATTGAAGCAGGGTAAGGACCACAGCATCAAGTTCACCATCGATCTCCTTCAACTTGACCTTCATGTCAGAGCAAGGTTTCGCGGCATCCTCCAACTTTCCCTCACACCATGACTCCAAAGCCTTGATCTTAGAGCTAGTGATAGGATCCTCGTCTTTCAACCTGGTCATCATGTCCTTTTTCGTCTTGGCAATTTGGGCGTGCTTGTCTTCATATGTATTCTGCAACACTTTCAAATCCGTTTCAGCACCCATTTTCATTTTGAGAAGTTCGTTGACCCTTGTCACATGCTGCTCTATCCCATCATCCATGTCAAAGACACCCTGGGTTTGAGTCCATTCCAAAACCTTGGCTTTGAATGGACCCATAGTTTCCAAAGTAAACTGATCAGGCTTCTCCATCCCAGGGTCAAACACATAATCCGAAAACTCCACATTCGAACTTCCTCCCCAATATGGTACCGTAGTAGCTGTGGATGAACGTCGTAGAGCTTGAGGACTTGTCATCGGTTCACCTGGGCCTCAGCATGCAACATCATTTTTTGATAGGCTTCAAACTGGGGCCTTATGGCTATTGAACTCTAAGACTCAACAACATGTGGGAACATCACCACACGCAAATAGGGGCAACTGTTTTTATATTTTTTATTGATATTATTATTGTTCCTTTACACAACTGGGATAGTACAGGTAATAGGCAGACACAACCACTTGATGTGGAGACGGCTTCCACCTTGATTGATCAACACAGGCAGAGATAAGACCTTGTATGACCCTCCATGTACTGGACAACTTCTTCTTCGAAGATTGACCTATGGAACAACCAGTTCATGGCTAAGCCAACCAAGCAATCCCCTTGGTTTGATCAAAAATATGCAGTCCCCAGCACCAGAGGAATTCGCCCTTCCCAAGAAATGTTTTAACTTTTTGTTGGTTGGGCCCTAAAATGGCTGAGAAAGTATTAGGTTCCCCCACTGGAGCCAATCACCGACACAGGCGATCTCCATGGCGCTGCCGATGGCTTCGGTCTGGCAACCTGGGGGCCAGGGCCCAGGAAGCCGGGATATGGAGCACCAGCTGAACAAATCAGACTGTATTAATATATATATATATATACACATTACCCCTGCACAAATATATAGCATGTTATATTTTAAACATGTATGTGTATATATGTTTATTAAACAGATGGACAGGTATCAAACAAACTTGGTAGCTTGTTTCTCTTCACTTGTGGAATGTTTAGGGTACCAAAATTAGCAGCTAGTACAGCTGCATGTTGGATCCGACCTGTTGATCGTCATGCTCTTGTTTGATCTTCTTCGCCTCAGGGGATTTAATCGGTGTATACTTCACATCCCCAGACGGTGGTCTTCGCCCAAGCTTTTGGCCACGAACTGGAGTAGCCACTGCAGCATTCCCTCAGATATATGTTGCTTCAACATATGGAACAATGATAAAAGAGTGCTAAAAAACATCAAGCTAGCTGAATTGGAACCCATTTCACCAGCTAGCTGGGGTAAACGAAAACCTGGCTACAAACCATGCAGAATCATAATGTACATTAAATTGTATAATCACTGACATCCAATAATATCAAATTAATATTCGATCCGGGGTGGTTATGATCCCACATGGCATTGGGTTCTTAGACTCCATCTTGCTGCATCTGTGCTGGGCATGGCACACCACCATGACCAGCTGGAGCACCCATGGCTTTTGTCTGAGCCACCCGGTTCTGAACCTTGTGCATCTCATCCTTGACATTGAAGAGCTCTGCTGAGGAATGCGAAGCTTTGCCACTCACCTGCTTCAGAGGCACAGGAAGCATGGGCACCGGTGAGCAGTGTCATTTGTGTTTTTTGGGTTTAGTGACCACTGCATACTAGATATATATATATATATATTATACGGATCCTAGGCAGATAAGTATTCTAGATAAATAAAGTTTTAGGTGCCAGCAAGCCTGGGGCGATGGCGTAGCCTTGGCCATGGACTTGGCAGCTGTGGGCTTTGAACCCTTCATACCTCCTTCAGGGGCATCGGGCTAGGACATTTGGGGGTATAGACTAACTGTTGGTTTTCATGGTGGAAATGTAAAAAAACATAGTTCTAAGACAGTTCATAACGTAGTACAGAAATGTAATCCATTGCCATTTTCATTTTTTCTGAAAAAATGGAAATCGATATGTTATGGATTACATTTCTAATTGGAAAATGTACTAAATGGTGCCTACATTTGTGGATTGATGTGGGAATTACATTTTGGAGCTGATTTGGAAAAAATGTAATTTGAATCCTACATTTGGAGCTCACTTGCGCCCACATTTTGTTTTTTTTCCCATAAATGTGAGAAATTGTATTCCCAAATGTAAAAAAACATGAATTTTACTAGATTTGGGGCTTACATTTTTTGAAAAATGTAATCTGAATCTTACATTGGTTTGTTATTACATTATGTTCACCAACCATGAAGACGATAGGTCCCCAAAAAGAGTGGTTGGGGACCTATCGTTTTAATCCCCGCTAAAGAAACATACTCTAAATCGTACATTTTGGAGCTGATTTGGGTTTACATTTAAAAATGTAATTTGAATTTTACATTTTGGAGCTGTTTTGGGTCTACATTTTGGGTTTTTTTCCATATAAATGTGAGAAATTGTATTCCCAAATGTAATTTTTTAAAAGGAATTTTACTATGGGGCTTACATTTTTTTAAAATGTAATCTGAATCTTACATTTTGGAGCTGTTTTTGGTCTACATTTGCATTTTTTGGAAGAAACTGTACATTTTATAAAGAAACATACTCTAAATCGTACATTTTGGAGCTGATTTGGGTTTACATTTAAAAATATAATTTGAATTTTACATTTTGGAGCTGTTTTGAGTCTACATTTTGGGGTCCCTACATTTAACGCAAAATAACGCAAGATAACGCTCAGGATTGCACCAGCACGTGATTGTAACGCAAAATAACGCTAAAATAACGCTACCACTATCATCGCTAAGAGCTGCATCACTCTACATTTTTGATCAAAATTCAACCAAAAAATGTACATTTTTTTGTGTTTTTCTTTCGGTTCACATTTTTTTGTTATGTTTTGTACATTTACCATGCAAACATATCGAACAAAATATCATACAAAATCCAGAACCCTGTCCTCCCTAAGGCCAAACTTCTCAGCAGCTAGATCTCCACACCCAAAATGACAGCTGCAAACAGCTGCGATTGATTTGGAGTTGTGTTCTGTCAGAAGACCCTTTGCTGTGTTGAATACCAGAGTCTTACTGCATATTCCAACAACCCACTTTGGTTGATGAACTCATGCATTAGCTTCGTAATCGGATTGGTATAGTGCATTTATTCCATATATCTAAAATAACACATTATTCTTGGCCACAAAAGGGCACCCCATTTTGATGGATATACATGATATATATTCCCCTGCAGTGGGCGCACTGCCAAAACAAAACCATTTAATTAAATTTAGCCAATGGCTGGGAACGGATATACAAGCAAGGGCCCCATGGTGATAACCCTGGAGTTCCCCTGCATTCCCTTTCCCACACACCACAGGCTCTTTGCAGCTCGTCTTGCGAATGTCGACAATGACTGCTCCGATGCAGCTTGCAAGCATTACAGCAGTGGGCAAAAGCTCCATTCCACGTAGAATCATTACTCGACTGGATGGCCAGTTATCTGCTGAAACATCAAGAGTAGTACGTGTAAATGGTAGCCCCACAACTCGAATCCAAATTTTGGATTTTTTGCATAGGCACCACATGCATTCCAAATTTGCCTAGCCAGTGCCTATACGATGTATATAGATATGCATGTAGACCATATCGAAGCTTACACCACTGGTAGGTTCATCTGAAATTTACACCACTGATCAATTCAAGCTCCTAAGGCTTTCTTCCTGGCTAGCTCTGCAACATGTCTACATGGTTCAATCTGCAATGGGATATCTGGATCTGCCTTGAAGCCAGAGCGGATTGCAGCATGCATGAAGTCCACCATCGGCTCCACGGCTGCAAACTTCCAGCAATCACGTGGAGGCTCCTGGCAACATCTTGCTGACTGGGAATGGGCCGGAATCGTAAATTATTTGCACCTCTTGGTCCCAAATTTAAGACTACTATGGGGTCAAACTTTCATGAACACCTTTTAATAATATTAAATATTGATTCTTTTTCAGGGCCATGTTCTCGAGTAAAGACTAAAGAGAACCCATTTGTTTTGCAGTCTGTCCTGATAACCACAACTCCGGAGAAACCCAGCAAGATCTGGGCATGGTGCGTCCTTAGCTAGCCAGTGGCAATACCTCTGTGACAGGATCATTATCTTAGTCAATGGGTTCCCTTGCCCAAAAAAGTTTAAACTTGTTTCTCGGCTGGGTTCATGCGCAATTTTTGGGTGTGAAATAGATACCCCCTCAGGTTTAAAGTTTAAATCTCTCTGGGTCAGATGTCTTTTCATTTTTTATCCTATTCCAGTACTATATATTATGCATTTGCAACCCAGGTGTGAAATTTGAAATTTGATGCTAAATCGCCACCATGTTCATGTTAGTCCATTCACATGGAAGGGGAAACCACAAACACCTAAAAGTGAAACCATCACATTCCCATGGAAACAGTATGGATACTCCATAGAGGGCACTATAATGATGAACATGTTGGGGTTCTTTTTATGTCATTTCAACCTGAGCTGGTAAGACTAGTCTTGGGAGGCACTACTTAACTTGGAATTCCATGGGGGGAGGTGGAAAATAATATTCTCAAGTTTTGGCTAAGGAACAGATACCATATATCGAAGATGATGCTCTGCCACCCTCTGCCCAAACAGCTTGGGATACTGCTGTGAAGCCTTGAGGTCTTTGGATCCGCTCCTTAAGCAGGGACAACACCCACAACTGCGCATGCAGGGAAGCCAAGACTATCTGGCCAGGTATAGGTTTATCACATGTTTCATGTCGTATGGAGAAAAAAGGTTTGTGTAACAAAACTTCCACCATGTTCAGCAATGGGTTTTTGAGATGTGCTCCAGATGTATCAATTTGGCACACTTTAAAGAGAACAACTTATATATATATATAATTATATATAATTATATATATAAAACAAAATTTCAAAGGAAATTGTGTTTAGTCTATATATATATAGTATGTCTCAAAATGAGGTGCCCTTTTTTGGCCCAAAAAAAATACCCCTGCCAGGAGTATTTTTTGGGGATGATTTTTGTCCCCCAAAAAGTTATACTTTAAAGAGGAGATACCGAGATACCCATATAATATATATATATTGTAATATAATATACATATACATAGCATATATAAAAACTATGTATTAAATTATATATATGTACATGTAGATGAGTGTCACTGTGACCTGGTTGGTGACCTTGTTCACCGTTTTTTTCACCAAGCTTTTGCCAGCTGCCTCCGCCTTGTCCCTCAACTGTTTTCGAGCCTCTCCACACATCGGCTGATTCAGGTAAGCAGCCCATATCCTCAAACAGCAAGGCAAGGGGGTTTAGAGTTGCTGCCATGGGGTTAAGAAAAAACATCACGGGGGCAATGCGGAAAACACCCAATACTAATATAAGGAACCAAGCCACGCATTTGATAGGCCCAATTGAGGTTTTAAAGACCAGCCGCCATAATAGCCCATAAGCCTGGGATTGAAATGTTCCCAGGATAAATGGATCAAAAGGATTGGATCATACCTCACTCAACAGGTTTCCCTTCCGAAAACACAAACCAAGTGTAGCCACTGCAGCTAGCTGAAATACCCAACAGTACTTGCTATGCACATTTGAGGGAAAATAATGCACAAAAAACACATCCGAATGTATCAGCCAGTAGCCAGCTTGTTCGGTGAGAATTTAGCCAGGGCATACTCATCAAGAAATTGATGAATGGCCAGCTGTTTAATGCTGAATTTCCTGGATTCTCCACGAAAAAGCTAGCAGATCTTGCTATGGCTACCAAGATGACTAGACAGGTGCGAGCACATATGCAATTCCCAGTATGAACAAAGGGCATATGCAGATTGCCATACGGAGTCCAGAAGCTGCGTCGGTGACCAGAGCTACTCATAAAGGTGAAAGATTGGCATGGAAGAGCCATCCATGCCAAACCCCGCTGTTTGATTCGAAGTGCCAGGCCCAAACTTTGAATGAACCCACACACCAGCAGGATATCATGTAGAACGGGTTCTTTTTGAATATCAAATCCCTGCCTCAGATGCAGGAAACCATGCTTGACGAACTTCCCAAACTCTTGCATCCCCATGATCCCCAAGACCCAACTATTTGCAGCAGCCTGCAGGATATACAGGTCTGATGTTTCAAAGCAGGTTCGTGAGGGAGGGGGAGAGAAAAACAGGTGATGCATACAAGATACGCATTGGCACCAGCTCCACCTGCAGTAGGTCATCAACTTAAAGTTGGTGGGATTACTTTTAATAATGAAGTCCAAGACTTTTGGAATAAGATAGTTTAATTTATGAATCTTAATCATGTGTAATTTCCATGGATCTTAATCATAGTTTACTCTCGACCATGCAGTTTGACTTGCATGAGATTGCTATCAGTCCTGTAGATACTGCACCATTGGGCCCCCTGACGGAATCCACCAGTAACACTTTCAACGCCGCAAAAAAATTCAGCAGCTTCCAGATCCTGCATTGATGGTGGAAAAATTGTAAGATGGGATGATGGGGTCTTATTGATCAAGTAAAAAACAGAATAAATACATATAAATATGTATATATATATATAATAAGATTTCCCTTGAAAGGGTTCCTCAGGTTGACCCAGGACCCCATTCACTCTGAGGAACCCTTGCAAGGGAAATCTTGTTATATATATATATATAAGGGACCAAGCTACCATAGTTGGACATGGGGGTCAGAAGAACAACAGCCAACATTTCTGCAACAGATTGGACAGAAGGATATATATATATATATTAAATTAATAGACCCACTTGATTCGATAGGACTATAAATGTGGGATCACAAGTTCAAGTAGGATTTCCGACATCAGTGCTCACAACTTCGAAAGATGAGCTGGTCTACTTCAACCACTTGGCGAATGAGACCAGGCTTCCCAAATTGGATTGACCACTATGCAGCTCAACCAAAACTTGTGCGACGTGTTCCACACTGACTAGAACAATGGGGGCCCTAGTCATGGTGTGGGCGAAATATAAAAGCAGTGAGTTCAACGGGAACAAGATCCATGAAGTCTGATCATTCGATGGGAATCGGTTGGCTATCATGGCCACTTCCATGAAAAGGGCTTTCATGGAAAATCCAGCTGAAGATTCTTGGAGGGCCAGCTGAAGGCCGCACCTGTGAGTTGAGCACTCTGGCCAAATGACCTACATCGACTACATCCTTTAGATTGCGGGAGGTGAAATCATGTTTTATAAAGTCTAGTTATATATATATATATTTATTTATTTACATTAAAGATTGTTCCTTTATATAGTTGTTTGAAAATAAAGATATATATATATATTAAAAATCAATAGACCGATTTGAATAATCTATAATCTATATAATTATTATTATGTCCCAATCTGACCAATTCCACCAGGCGGTCCCTGTAAAATCCACTTCCAGATTGGCAATCGTAGGCAAAGTCCAGCAAATGCACCCTGAAGATAAAGGGGAATAAGGAAGGGATGACATGATGGTGATACTTTCAAACATAATCTTACTTGCAGTGAAGATGCAATATCGGAGGGGCGCCCATGCATAGGAGAACAGCGCATTGTAGCTTAGACAAGCCCAACGATCGTCGAGCCATGTTGTGACACCCGGTAGGTAAAAGTTAAAAATGTTGTTCGGTTTGCCACCCTATGAATCCAATGTTAAAACCCCTACATGATGTACCATATTCCCGCACATAGGTGCCAAGTTCCAAAGCCAAGTCCTGCAATGGTGCCATGCCCAGCACAAGTGGGGTCTGTGGGTTTATTTAATATATGATTACTAGTCTGGAGATACCCACATGGATGTGATCGATGTAATGCTGATCGATTCAAGGCAAAATATTTCATCTAAAGCACTTTGAGCCACATCGGAAGTGCAGCTCAGAACGGGTTGAACCACTCCGCCACAGCCTGGAGATCCATGTTACCCATATATATTTGTATATGGGCATGAGGTTCCATGCAGGTCTCTCGAATGAAAAAAAACATCCAACAACATGTGTTTTTGTTGATGCTATTTTGGTGGCTATGTCCTTTGGGGTCTATGTTGGGCCCATGTTGGGTCATTTGGTGGGCTATAGCGTTTCATGGAAATTTCCCCAAGGAAAAAACAACCTTCACAAAAAGTCGACTTTTTGCGAAGGTTCTTTTTTGATCTTGCTTGACCCAGGTTGAGGGGTATGTCAGGCCAATGTTGGGCCAGTTGGGGTCTATGTTAGGCCCATGTTGGCTGGATTTAGTTTTCATTTTTGTTTTTTTGTAGGCTTTTAAAAGCCTACAACCTGAAACACACAAATAGTTGGTTTTCACAGGTAGTATAACTATTATCTTCTGGGCTTTATAGGGTTCCATGGAAGTCCTTTGCGAAGGGAAAAACAACCTGTAAGCATATGATTTTGGAAAAATGCCATGATTTTAAATATATTTCATGCCAACTAGTGGCCATTTGGGATTCAGGTTATGGTTATAATTATAAGGCTATGTTGTTGGTTCATGTCGAAACAACATATGGGTATAGATCCACCAAAGAAGGGGTGCACTACAGTATCCTCCCTACCAATACTAACAAGAATATGTATATACATAATCCATACTATACATTGATAATTGACATATATACATATATTGTATTTCTAAGATAATTGCAATCCTTTCTGTTCATATTACCATCCACTATAGGGCAATCCCGAGGCGTGCAACACCTTCCCATAAATAAGAGAGGGTGGCACCAGGTCGGTCTTGATGATCACCACCTGCAGAAAAGGATGGCTGGGTATATGGGTCCAACATGTTGTGCTTCCAATGATTTAATTAATCATGAGCTTTTATTTGGGTGGGTTTTGTGACACCAGACCCCAAAAAACAGAATCGACGTGAACCGTGGTGATTCCAAACAAACATTATATTGGATTAATAAGTATACCACACTTTAAAACATAAGACAAGCCATCCATTCCCAACCTCGTCCATTCCGCACCACCAGCGCCGAGCTTGCACTTGAGGAACTCTTGCCACCTGCGTGGGTCAAGCATTGGTGACTTGGTCAAAGCTGTCAGGGGACGGTGTCTGACTAAGAAAACACTGTATTCTCCCAGGGGATCCCAAAACATAAAATGTTATCAGAACCGTGATCTTTCACCCGTTCAAAGTTGATATGCCCAACAAATTAAAGTTTTGAGGTGTGGGGTCAACACACACACACACACGCACACACTTGCACATGTTTTCCCAGTTTTCCCAGCACGAGGCAATCAGAGCATAGCAGGATCTAATCCACACACTGCTGCCAGGCTTGACTTGATGTCAAAATTCGTTCAGTTTCACATAAAGATGATCGATCTGATGTTCCCAAGATGAAACTCAAATGTTTTTGGATTTGTGTTCCCACAGCCTGGCAGCAAGCAATGCGCAATATCCAACTTGCATGGAACTAGTTGACAAAATGTCAGAGCACACATTTCCTAATCGCAGCCATCAACCACAGGAGTGTTGCTTTGGCCCATCATCATTTGAAGGTCACAATATATATATAAATAAACAAACAAACAAATAAATAAATAAATAATATCTAATCTTATCTAATACATATCTATATTTATAGTACTATCAGGCTATCATATAATATAATGAAAAAATGATAAGTGAGCAACACATCACTGTGCGCAAGCTGCATCCGAGATCTATTGATCTGTTCCCGAAATCAAAATTTTATCAGAACCATCGGCCAGTTCCACAGCGCAGATACCATATATCATGCCCACATTGCTATGATCTTTGCAATCTTCCACCTGGCATGGAAGGAGATAAAACAGAGACAAACCAGTTAAAGAAGTCATCAACAAAACAATTGCAATAATTAACATATATGTAAAATCAAAACTAGAACCATGCCAGAAACACGCTTCAGCTGGGTCGTCATCCCAAACAACTGTCATTCCCCCGGTTGGATAGCAGTCCTTTCCTAAGTGCTTCTGGGTCAGCTCCTGGTTCGCCTTGGACACAAAGTACGATTTTTGGTACAATACTATCCCGATGTTCGATCCTCGACCAAGTGGATCTCGCACAGTGAAGGACCTTGGCAAAGTTATATTAAGTAATACTGAAGATGGTCGTGTACACTTCTAATTTCACAGATGTTACGTATGCATGGTTCATACAAACTTCTGGCACAGCATACAGGAACTGAATATGTAACCTTACATGCATGCAAGAAACTTCTTGGAGAAAGGTCCATCAGGCAAGGGAAGGTCATCCAGGTGAAGGTCACGGAGGGTTTGCAAGGCGGCCAAGGCTTTCTCCATGCTAGCATTCATGGTTTTCTTGTTCGGGGAGGTTGCTTTGGCTGCAAATGTCTTGGCTTTGGGACTCAGTTTCACACTCTTGGGCTTCTTTGGGGCACGGGGTTTTGGACACGGGCTCGAGGGAGGGTTTGCTTTCATGGAATGGTCAGAAGACCCAGAAGCTGCTGCCCCTGAATTTTCAGCTGCTGCATCAAATTCAGCACCTAGCCTACGTTTGAGCCTTTTGTTCTTGGTGGGCTTCTCTTCCAATGCCTTCGCCTTGGCCAAAGCAAGATTCAGCTTTGCCTGAGCCTTTTCAATTGCCTTTTGTGAAGCTTCACGTTTCTTCATTTCGGCTTCCTCCTTTTTGTTCTCGGCTTCCTGCTTCATTTTTTTTTTCAAAGCCCTTTGGGCGTCAACATCTGCAGTCAAAGGCCCATCCACAGCAGGCTGTGAGGCCAGAACGGGGGGGTTGCTGATCAACACTTGCTTCCCAGAGTCACGGGTTCCCTTCATTTTTTTTTGTCTTGATGGCCATCACCAGGGGCATCATGATTCTGTTCATCATGATCAGGTGTAGTAATCTCAACCGGCTCCATCGCAACAAGCCCCGTAACACTTGAAGATTTCTCAACTGTATGGATTTCCATGTCATCTTCTGGTTGGGAATCAGGTATGTGCTCAGAAGGTGGGGAATGAGGCGTGTACTCCCACCAACCAACCTTGATCTCATCACCACCCACCACAGGTTCAGGAGCATCGATCGCAGCTTCGTCCCCCATAGCAGCCTGCATGAAGGCCAAATAATATATCTAGCAAGTATTAAGGCCATAATCTCATCATACATACATGTACATATATTTATATTTATAAATCATATATGATTTGCCCGCCTCCATGCAGGCTCCTGGATATTTCTGAAAAAACTTGCGAATGCGCTCTGAATAAGGTTCAAATCCAACCTGCATGCAGTGGGTGGACATTGCGTACACATATTCAGAGCACAAATGTTGAACATGTGTACATGGCAATATATTAAGCTAATGATGTGGCAAGTGGCTGAAGGAACTGGTCTCGATGGTACTGGCACAGGTTCCAGAGCATTGGGTTCCTTAGGGATTCAAATGCCCCAACATTGCTTATTTCCCTAGCTCAGATCAAATTACCACAAATATCAGAAAACTAGTGTGAATGTTTTGGCTAAGCTTCGGCATTCCCTTCAACCACCGCATCTTCAGACTTCACTTGCATACCAGCTGCATGTCCTTCAGCCAAGTGAACATGCGTAATGATGGGCTCATCGTCAAAGTCCACAACCAAAGGTTCTTCATCCTGGCTTTTGGGCCTGGATTAAGTTTTTTTTTTTGATGGGGGAGTCTTGAAGACCGATATTTTGGTCCATATATATGCATTATAGACATATAAAAAAGTAAAATGTATATAATATAATATAAATTATATTATATATATATTGCTATTTGGACCCATAACACAACAGATCGGTTTGGATCGGGTTTGGGCACCTCCAGGGCAGCCAGGGCTTCCTCATCAGAGTCCAACAGCATCTGCTGGTTTTCCTGCATGGCACATGTTGATGAGCGCACCCAAATAACAAACTTTCTGGATGATGATTGATGTTGAAGAGATTAAGAACATATCCTTTTTATTTTATATGTTTGAAGTTGTTGACGTTTCAAATACCAGCTAAAAATATGATCATTAAGCTAGTGTGACATGGATATGATCCACTTATCAAATTCAGGCTCTGCACCCAGGCCTGCTCAGCCTTGATGATCCGGAAGTTTGTCACTATGCTTTTCAACACTTTGATCTTCTCATTCCTGCCCAGAGATGATTTATCACATGAAGGATATGGGAACGGAACATATCCAATGATCCCTACCCCTATATTTATAAGAAGATTAATATACATATAATTATATAGGTCTAGTAATATGTACCTTGGGATGTGAATCCAATTGTCCTAATCCAACCATGAACTACCAAATACTACCAAATATTAAGAATTCAGTCAGTGATCCCCACTAGCAGGCCTGCTTTCCTCAGTTCTGTTCGTCAAAACGATGAGGTGAGTCATCATCTTGCGCAAAACCGTGGCCTCTTTGTTTGCCCATTCCTTAGCCAGCAACCGGACCCTGTCAGCTGGATTTGCTAACTGGTCATGGGAGAACCTTACATGTTTTCAGATGATCGATAAAAAAATCATTTTCTTTATGGTTAAGTAAGCACATGATATCCAAGAGTCTTTGATTTTTCCCTTGCCACCACGTCTGTGATGTAGCTCCACGTGAAAGTTCGATCGCAGAGACAGCAATAACATCGCCCCCTGCACAAAAGTGTATTTTTTGGGGTGGCTGACATTAGAAGTTGCTGCATAAGAGCAGCACAAAGCTCCATGTCATGTTAAGTAATCTTACCAAACAAATTGCCAATATATTATCTGTTAGTCAAGGGTTGGGTTGTAACACAGCTACACATCAACATCAAAGCAGGCCTCAAAGTCTGCAAGAACAGGAATTTCATGTTGAACCCCAGGTTTCAATCTATTTTCAAAGCAGGCGTACACAGTCTCTTTGAGCAACTCATAGTTGGAGTCCAAATCACTCTCAGTGATGACAGGGCGATCCCGTGCTGCATAAACAGCAATTTCCTTGTCATCACTTTGCATGATGCTAGGCCCCCATTTTTGAGCATATACCCGAAGGCTCTCGTACAGCATCATGGCAGTTGCCTTAAGGGACCCAAAGGTTGAACCAAAGGCTTGAAAAGGTTAAATCAACGATCACATGTCCTATGCACTTGACACCCATGATCCTGCATACAAGATACAGTCACCTTGAACTTCATGGGTTTGGTCACCTGAAGTCCATCCCCAACTACCTTCTCCTCGATCAGTGACTGCCCCCTCCGCATGGCTCCAAGGTGGCAGCTGGATGTCTGAGAGCTTGAACCCGCTGCAAGGGAGATGGGATCAGGTGTGATGTGATATGATCAAACATGTTCAAACACATCAATTTTGAGGAAACTCTAGATCAATCACTCCCAGTTTCATCCAAGTTTCACGCTTTGATTTGAAATCTTCCAACATGTGTGGTTTGCCCGGTGCAGGGAGGGTGGCTGGCGCACCTCCCAAAGCATGCAGTCGTAATAGACCCATGGCATCCCCCACAGGACTGAATTAAGGCGGATCAGCAACCCTGACCTAGTAAGATCATAACTGGGTTTTGTGTGGGTCAAATATCAGATGATGCTGGTTTTATAGGTCAGCAATCAGATGATGTTGGTTTTATGTGGTTCAATAGATATAATTCAAAATTTTATCATTGTGTATTCATCAGCTGATGCTCATGTGTCTAGGCCAGCTATCAGATGATGCTGGTTTTATGGGTCAGCAATCAGATGATGTTGGTTTTATGTGGGTCAATAGATATAATTCAAATTAATATTATTAAGTTTATTAGCTGATGCTCATGTGTCTAATTTCTCATGTGTTTCCATGCCAATCCCACCCTGCGTGGACAGCCATGGAGTGAGCAAAGGCCGGAAGATGAAAGGGTTGCCCCTGCAGTGGTACCAGGATTGCCCCATCACGTACCTGGGTTCTAAGTATATATTCACAAAATGTAAATGCAATCTTTCGCTAATCATAGCATTACCGAATCATATGCTCACAAGTACCTTGGATCTCCAGGGATAATAATAATAATAACACTAATAATAATAATATTAATAAAAAAAATGATAATAATAAAAAATAGTAATAAAAATAATAATAATAATAGTAATACTACTACTAATAATAAATCATATTATATATATATAATACTATGTGTATATATATATATACGTATATTAATGGAGAAAATACAAGAGATTTCATGAGATTTCCAGCACATGTTCAATTTTTGGGTGTAAATCGATATGTATCAGCTCTTCAGCAAGGCGACCTGGGACCTTTGGGATGGCGGCGCCTCGTGCCCAGGCCAAATGAAGTCAGAAAAGTAGCGGCTGGGTTTCCATCCTTCGCGCTGTGGAGAGCCCTGTGGAATTCTCTGAACATCATAGGGAAACTGACATTTTTTTGCATCCATTGAACATGAAACAATGGCCATTTGACTGGTCCCCATTTTCAGACACGCCCGTTGTCTCCAAGTCATTGATTCATGGCTGTTGTGATGCTGACAGAATCTCACCCAAATGAAGATGATGGGGTGAACTTACCGGGGGACAGCACCTTGTGGAACCGGCTGGCCACAGGTTGCTCCCTAAAAACACTTCGCCTCTGGGATATTGCCAACGTCGGTGCCAACTGGTGTTGTCGTCCACATCCATCCAAACCTCAGCCGAATTTCAGGCCGCAAGATAGACATGGGTTTGTTTGAAAAAAGGGTACCCATGGGTACCCCAGAAGCTCATGGTTTTTCTGATTTACCGGGTCCGGTCTATAGGGTTGCCGAAAACAACCCAGATACAATGGGGGAAAATAGCTGGGTAAAAAGGTGAAATGCTACTTTTTCCCCTTGTGGCAACCCTCCTTGTGGCTACAATTTACCTACAGCGCCTACAGTGGGTTAGATCTGTCATATTCAGACCAACATCCCTCGATGATAGCTGAGAAATGGAAGTGGCACTGGTAGTATGCGGAGGAAATCACCCAAACATCACTGTCATTTTTACTCGATGGTTTAGGTTGAGTGGTGGCCACCCATATGGATTGACTTGAGAAAATCTTCAACATACGTGGCTCCGTGGCTCAAACAGTGTCATTCCTTAGTGGCACTGGTTGGTTGACTATTGGATTCCATAGAATTCCCCCAAAAAAGGTCAAACTAATCCCGAATTAAAAAACAGGACAATAATAATCCCCTGTGACAATCAATAAATTCATCATTCAGCAACATCCTCATATGTTACTGAAAAAAAACAGATTCAATGGTCAACTCCCCTCTAAATAAGATCAATGGCTCTTGTATGACTGTGGGTCAAAACCCAAACACCCCGGTGAAGCCTCCCAAAAAGCGAGTACTCTCTGGTAATTTAACATAGCTATCGAAAATGGTCAATGGTCATTTATAATTGATTTACCCATTAAAAATGATGATTTTCCATAGCTATGTTATGCTATGTTAGTTTACCAGAGGGTAAACCTCCATTGTCCTATGGGTTTTCCTGTGTTTTCCCATTTACCCATGGGCTTCCCTATGGTTTTCCCTGGATGTTCATCCCCCCTGCTATGGGTACTATAGCTACTGTAGCTACTATAGCCATCCCCATATCATCCGACTGTGGTAGAATGGCATTCCCAGTTGGATGATAATCCTCCATACGTACTAATCAACCAACTATGATATATATATATTGATATACTATATATATACATTATACATTGATATACTACATATATATACTGATATACTATAATATACTATATATATACATATTAATATACTCTATATATATATGTAAAATTGCGGTTACATCACATATCCCATTACCCTCTGGTAAATTAACATAGACCCTGCAAATAACCCCAAACATATAGTGGAAAAATAGTGAAAACTAATCTTCCAACCCCTATCTGGCAGGGTCGTCATGCTAATTTTCTGGAGGGTAAGAGGTGGATGAAACCCAACTAGTCAACACTGGGAATAATATGGATATAATGGAATCTTATATTCCCATCATTCCTAATATACATTCACATGGTAATTTACCATTGTAGTCCCATTATTTCCACCCACTATTTTAGGAAACCCATGGAAACCCCGAACTACCCACTGGTTATTTGTTACATAGCCATGGTATAGATGGCCCATAGAATAGATGGTTTACCTATAAAATAGCCATGGTGATTTTCCATGGCTATATTAAATAACCGGATGGTATATCAACACAGATTCTGAAGCCACAGATTCAGCACTCTTCGCCGAAGAAGCGAGGCAGTTCAGCAGCTTCGACAAACTTTCCGAGCTGAAAATGCAATGACCTGTGGGCCGACCAATGGATGTCCATAAAAAAAGGACATATCAAGCATATCAAGCAAACAAAAAGATATTAATGAACATAAATTCGCAGCTCATGTTGAGAATCTAATGGAAAAAAAACAATGGAAATGAACATCTACTGGACATATCAATGTAAAATATATAATGGAAAAGACCTGTTCATATCCATGAACAAATGCACACATGTAAAACGACATGAATACAGAATGTTCATACATGTTCCGTAACATTCATTTGACTCTTACTTGTCTATCTTGCGGTTGGCAAAAACCAGTGTATTTTTGTCATGAAGAACTGTGTCTCGACCTGCTGAGGGGGACCGGCCAAGCAGTATGATCAATACCCTCTGGTGATTTGAGGCTTTGCGAACTGGTAAGCACCTTTTGTAAAAGGTAAATAATCGTTTTTTTCCATTAAACTAACTAAATGGTATTTCTTTTTGACAGAAATAGGTATCCCGAAAATCCACTGCTGAACCATCATTCTACTTATTATTATGATTATGATTATCATTATCATGGCAATAAAAACATGGGAGAATTGCCCCATTTCAGACGCACAGAAATGTTTGGCCAGTAATTTCAATGTTACGAATCACCCTCCAGTAAATTCACATGAGAAATGGCCCGAAAATATACATGTTCCATCCCATTAATTATACTGATTGGTCAATGGACATATCTATTGTGAGATATAATAATCTCCAATCAACTAGGTAGCAACCCCCTCGTAATGACGAATCAACAAGGGTACTGGTACGTCACGGTATGTCCAATGGAAACATGGAAAGCCAAACCTTCTACCACGACGACCGAATACTCCTTCCTTAGCAAGGCCGCGCAAGGGCGGAAAGAATGCAGTTTCTGCTGATAACCAGTGGTATCATGATAAACAAATGGCGATTTACATAAGCAACAAACAGCATGTTTTGGGATATACAGTCAGGAAAAATATACTCAGATACATATGCTGTACACTTTTATATATATATATTGTAAATATAATATGTATATATATAACCAGCGGTAGATGAGTAATTATGATGGGTTGGTATTTCCTGGGGTTTCTTAAAATGGGAGTTTCCCCAATCCAAGTTCTGGATCAGTTTCAATAAGGGAAAACGGGATAGGGGCAGTGGCACATGTTGTGTACACAGCTGATGTTTTTGGACAGACCTACTGGGAAAATGGGCCAAATCTTTTACATCATAGGGCCTTTTTTTCATGTTTTGGCCCATTGGAAACGTGAGTAAAGAAATTGTAAATGGGCCATCTTATGAAAATCATCCTACATCCAATTCTTTTACAACATCTTATGGAAATTTACTGGTTGGTGGTATACCTACTCCTCTGAAAAATATGACTTCGTCAGTGATTATGATTCATTCCCAACTGAATGGAAAGTCATAATCCATTCATGTTCCAAACCACCAACCAGTTTATCATGTTTCTTTTCTTCATACCTTTAAGTTGGGCTTCCGCGTTCCATTTTCGAAGCCTTCATCCCGTTCATCCTGTTCATTGGGATGACAGTGATCCATAGCCATCGCTGGTATCAATGGATTGGTTTTGTTGGGAAAATCTTAACCGGAAACCATGGCTTTTACATGTTTTTACCATGTGAAATATCGGGCTTTCCGGTGTCAATTTTCCCATCATCCAATTCCTTGATGGTAACTCCTCGATGTACAGCCATATGACCAAACTGCAGTTTGAGGGAATTTTGTTGGAAAATTATATGAAATTGCCGTCCCAGAGACAATGAGCCGTTAGCAAGTTGCCAGCTGCTCATGGCATGTCCAAGGTGAAGTACTCACTATAAAGTAATAAATATATATGTGGGGGTTTCTATAGGGGGGATCCCCAAAATGGATCATCAAAATATTGGAACATCCGAAAATAACATGGATGATCCTATACTGTGTACACCACCAATTTAGGATACCCTCTGGTAAACTAACACAAAACTATGGAAAATCATCATGTTTAATAGGTAAATCAAATCAACTATTTCTATGGCAATTTTCAATAGCAAACTGTTAGTTTACCAGAGGGTATCAAATATTCATCCAATTATCAATATCTATCCACATTATCCACATTATCTGGTTAGTTTACCAATAGCAAACTGTTAGTTTACCAGAGGGCAAATTTCCATAGCAATACATCTTGCAGTGTGTTTCTTGCGGCCCAGTTTCATCGCCTCCTCTATCGCCTCAAAAAAGTCCCCGTGGGGGCCCCCGGGCACACATAGGGCGGCTCTTAATGGGGTAAAGCCACATGGCAATCTGTAAGAATGATGAAACAATATATCAAAGATGCTGACAATATTTGTAGATATTCATAGCTAAAATATGCTGATTGACCTGAAGATGGCATGTGGTTTTCCCCTCAAAATTGACCTAACAAAGCCACATTGATCCTTGGATTTTTAGTGGGGGAAGGGTGGTGCACCAGAATTGGATATCATATCATAGCTTGTTCACCAAAAATGACTGGTACATGCTGGTGAAAACCAGGCAAACATGTGCCAAGTAAAAACATCTTCCGCTCCAAGGGTGGGGTGCAAACCGTGGTACACTACTCAACATCCGAAGAATGAGCAGGAAAAAAACATCCACCAACAAAAAGCCTTCACGGCATGCAGTTTTGAACTCCGTCCCGTCCAGCATGGTTTAAAGTCAAGATTAACAAAATTTGATGTTACCCTTCAGACATCCATTAAGATCCTCTATCTGCGCCTCAATATCCAGCCAATCTATCACCCATCACTCTAAAACTTGTGAATCAGATAGCCTCCTGGGTAATCAACCGTGGCTGGCTGGGAAATGCTATTTTTTCGAGGCTTTGAGCGGGACGAACATCGCAATACATGGAGGCGCCATGGGTAATCATAGGGACACCATGGGACACCTTTCTGTGTTCCGGCCAAAGGACTGTCTCCATGCTGGTCCAATCTGTAGAATCGGGCGATTCCCAATAGGAAAGCCTTGGATTCCCCATGACATCGGAAATGGTTTGGTCCTGGGTCTTCTTGGTATCAACTTGGAGGTTACCCGGCCTGGTAAACTAACACTTTGCGACATTGAAGCCATGGCCATAGAAATAGTTGAATTACCTATTAAAAATGGTGATTGTCCATAGTTTTTTGTATGTTTACCAGTGATTTATCATCCAAGCTTCAGTGCTTCAGTGATCTCTTCCATTCAATTTGTCTTGTTTCAAGACAGTCATACGGTCATACGAGTCATACCTGCTTGATCACCATCAAACCCCAGGAACTCAACCTGAGGAACCACACAGGGCATTACCAAATTAGAAATCACATAGCATCACATACCCTCCAGGAAACTAACATAGATATAGAAAATCACAATCTTTAATGGGTAAATCAATTATAAATGGCCATTTTCAATAGCTATGTTAGTGAACAGAGGGTAAGACTAAGACTCGTGTTTGAGGTTCCAAATCGACTGTCAGGTGCAAACTCATGTTGTATGGAACAAGTGGTCCAAGAATTAGGCTTTCTCAAAAACACAATGTGTCAAATACTGACTGGCTTTGTCTGAACAGAGGGTACGCTTAAAATATCCAACAGGATTATCATCATTATCCAATTTCAATTGCCATAACTGGGAGTATGCTCCATTTCCAAACACACCCACATGTCATATTGATTTTATCTCACCATTTTTCTCGATGGCCATGTTGCTGCTTCATACCCCATTTTCAGACACCCATGAAAGAAACAACGCGGCCAGTTCGGAAAGGCACCATTTGCCTTTCTCCCAGAACCAGGCTCCATTTCCGGCGTTCTTTCCTGGAGTGATGGGTCACTGGGTCACGGAAAACCAAGTACCATGTCCCATGTCAGTTTCAACTCTCACCCCGATGCCGATGCCAAGGTTTTACTTTTGGGGATCATCGTGCCTAATATGGTTTTGCGGAATTCGTTCCATAACTGGTTGGTGGTTTCAATCCCTCAGAAAAATATGAGTTCGTCAGTTGGGATTATTTTCCCAATAATATATGGAAAAATAGAAAAAGTTCCAAACCACCAACCAAATAAAGACGTCATTGGGGATCATGATTCCAAATATGGTGTGAAAAAAATATGTTGGAACGCACGGACCAACTTTCGATTCGGACTGCTACACCTCGACGAATCGAAAAAAACCATGCTGTGAAAACGACTAGAAACCAAATTCCTGGGCCCGTGATATATTGTTTACGATCTAGGTATTTGAAAAAAAAAAGTGTACAATGCACTATAACAAAGTACTCGCATATTTTCCTTAACATATTCATTTGAACCAGTTCCAGAATCCATAGATTCCCAAATTCTACATCTGTTCTACAATATATGTGGGTTTAGTTAGCTAAACCAGCAGGTCTATATATATATATATACAAAATATCAAAACACTAAACTTCACTAAACCAGAAGGTCCAGCAGGTTATATCACAATAATTATAGACTATCATATCCATATAAATCCATATAAATCATTAAAAATCCGTATAATATCTATATCTTCCATGTCTCTATATCTAAAACATCATAATGTGGGGTCCACCCATGGCTGCCATGGCTGCTATCTCCAAGTCACCGAGGCCAAAATCATCTTGCAAAATCAGAGTGCCTTTCCGCGCTGACGGGTGATGCGACGGGTGGATGGTGAATCTATGCTTAACCTCTGGCGACCTTTGGTGAATAGATGTTAATACATATAATCATGTTCATGTTAATCGATATTATCTTAATATAGCTTGTGTATATATATATATATATACTGTATATACATAATATAATATTTAATGATGGGGATGGTTATCATGGCCAAAAACGTTAACAAACATGTTTCTTGAAGTCTCTTACAGCAATCTTCCTATATTGCATCCCGAGTGCCGCAGGGATACTTTGGGGGTCCTGTGATGTCCTGTGGTAACATCCCAGGTCTCGTGGCGCAAAATCGCCAAGTGATGTCGGGTTTCTCTGAACATTTAGGAAATTTAGGAGAAAAGAGCCTCAAATCCTAGATTTATCATAATTGTTCCTGTTGGAAGGCCATCAGGGGGTTATACCCCATTTTCTCTCCATTTCTTCTGCTCTCACTCCCTTGGTTGGCAAAGACCAAGGAGCTTACTTCTGGTTCCATATCTGGTTTTAAAGAGAAATAAAAAATAACCCCAATAAGTGGCTGATGAAATTTGATGAACAGCATGTCGAATTTGAGACTTAAAATTATTGGTGAAGGCCCCCAAGCTGATTCAGACTCGATTGAATCCTGATGGTTTTTGTTCAAGATCGCATGCACAAATCACATTGTTGGATCGTTGTGGGGTGGATCATAAGCCCCCGTGGGGCTGCGACCATCGAAAACAAACCAGCGATTTAACTGTTGGCTTTTGAACCCCTAAAAACAGTAACTAGATGTACACTAACTAGATATATCCTCTAAAAACCTTGCTTTAGGTATCAGTGAATTTAGATTAATTTGGTTATATATATATATAGGGGCCCTGCAATAACAATATGTTTACATGAGCTTTGACTGCATACATATCTATCAAACGGGTTTGTCGGAAAATAAGGCACCCCCAATTTCAATGGATTAATTATCATGATTTTCTCATTTCCATTGCCATACCTGGCAGTATGCAGCATTTCCAAACACACCCGATTATAATATTGTTGGTTATATCTTCATTATATTTATATCCTCATAGTATTCCACTAAATCACCGTTTTTCCCATTGCCGTCCCTACCGAATTTTGATGGTCTAATCATGGGAAATCCCTATGTCTCATGGTCTTCCCTTGTACCAAATCCCTATGTATGTTCAGATTGTTGGTCAAAATATAATCCTTTTTCCCAGAATTCCATCAGATTTTTGCTGTTTCACTCCCTTCAAAATATTCCGTTTCATCCCATTCTCCGATAAACAAAATATACCCAGGATCTTCCAAAATCATCATCACTATTTCGATGGTTACATCCCCTATAACCTCATATAGTTGGTCAAAATATCACCATTTCTCCCAAAAATAAATTCACCAGATCTTTGTTGGTTCCACCGTGTTCCCCAGATCTGCCAAAGAACAGCTGAGTTCCTTCCCTCGCAGCATCTCTGCCAGATCCTTCGCCAGCGACGTCTTCCCAGAGCCCGGCGCCCCGGTGACGCCCAGCACCAAGACCCCTGGCGCCAGCGCGGACGCGGCGGTGCCCCCGATACTGACCGGCGTCGCGGAGGTCGTGGGACCGGAGCCTTAGAGCCCCCAGGGATGTTTCGAATAGTTCCATGGGGATTTCATAGGGATATCATGGATATTGTATGGCATTGTGAGGTATGTCATGGGGTATACCGTCTGAATATTCCTGAGTGATTAATAGTCAGTATAACCCAGTTAAAAACGAGATGGGCCATAGAATCAATCAACTTTCGAGTTTATATAACTAGAGATTTTTGATGGGTTAGAACGGTTAGAACCCAGTTACTAAACTGTTACCGAACCCCATGGCAAATCTAATTTGGGTTTCAAATCAGACACGGGGGTCTCATCAACCAAAACAAACAATTTGTTGTATGCATTGGTGGGAACCGAGGGTTTCAGCAAAATGGAAACTGGAAACCTTGTCAGATCAAAGATCAGAAAGGAAGGATATTTGGAGATGTTGCAGAGAAGGATTGGGAAATGGAGTCAATCCAACCTTGTAACCATACTCCCTACAATCACACTGTTTTATACAAAACTAAAAACATCAGGGTGAAAAAATGTGCTTTCAAGATTGGCATATATTGGCATGTAAAATAGTGCGAATCTTACGTAGTATATGTGTATACCAGTAGTACCGCACAAGGCGGTGGCGGAAGTTTCAAAAATAGGAAACCTATAGGAGAGGTGGTTGTTGTGAATCAGGGATGGCAGTGCGAAGCCACTGATGGACTGAAAGGTGTTTGATCTCTCTCACTCTTTCTATCTCTTTCTCTGACTATCTACCTACCTACCTTCTATTTTCTATGTATCTATCTATCTATCGATCTATCTATATATCTCTCTCTCTCTCTCTTTCATCTAATTACCCTATCTATCTATCTTTCTTCTTTCTATCTATCTATCTATCGATCTATCGATCTATCGATCTATCGATCTATCGATCTATCTACCTACCTACCTACCTATCTATCTATCTATCTGTCTACCTGTCTATCTGTGGTGCAGTGTCATTCAGTGTATTGTAGTGTAGTGTAATGTAGTGTAGTGTAGTGTAATTTCGTGTAGTGGAGTGTAGTTGTGTAGTCGTAGTTGTAGTTGTAGTGGAGTGTAGTGTAATGTAGTGAAGTGTAGTGGAAGGTAGTGTAGTGTAATGTAGTGTAGTGGAGTGTAGTGTAGTGGAGTGTAGTGTAGGGTAATGTAGTGTAGTGTAGTGTAATTTAGTGTAGTGGAGTGTAGTGGAGTGTAGTTGTGTAGTTGTAGTTGTAGTGTTGTGGAGCGTAGTGTAGTGTAATGTAGTGGAGTGTAGTGTAATTTAATGTAGTGTAGTGTAGTGGAGCGTAGTGTAGTGTAATGTAGTGTAGTGAAATTTAATGTAATGGAGTGTAGTGGAGTGTTGTCTAGTTGTGTAGTTGTAGTTGTAGTGTTGTCGAGTGTAGTGTAGTGTAATGTAGTGTAGTATAGTGGAGTGTGGTGTAATGTAACGTCGTATAGTGTAGTGAAGCGAAGCGGCGAAGCGACATCTGAACCTCCAAAAGTGGTCCGAACCCCTAGTGTCTTGTACATTTTCACTTCGAAATGTGCTTCGCGCCACAACGGCGTGCACTTTGTCGACATCTGAACCTCCAAAAGTGGCGCGAACATGTAGTCTTTTGTACATTTTCACTTCGAAATGCACAACGGCGTGCACTTTTTCGACGTCTCAACTTCCAAAAGTGGTCCGAACCTGGTGTGTTTTGTACATTTTGACTTCGAAATGTGCTTCGCGCCACAACGGCGTGCACTTTTTCGACATCTCAACTTCCAAGAGTGGTCCGACGCTGGTGTGTTTTGTACATTTTGACTTCGAAATGTGCTTCGCGCCACAACGGCGTGCACTTTTCCGACATCGCAACTTCCAAAAGTGGTCCGAGAATGGTGTGTTTTGTACATTTTGACTTCGGAATGTGCTTCGCGCCACAACGGCGTGCAATTTTTCATCTCTCCTCTGGCCAGCTGGCTCCGCACCCGCCGCTTTAGCGAGCCTACTTTTGGACCCTCCGGAGCCACAAATCATTGGAAAAACACAGTGTTTCGCGACTTTCCTACCTTTTCGCGCATCTGCATCTTCTTTCTTCTGACTCTTTCTCTTCTACTCTTCTCTCTTCTAATCTTTCTCTTCTCTCTGCCTCTGCCCTACTCTGCTTTTCATCTGTCCATATTGTCGGAAGTTTGACTTCTAAACTTCCTTCGATGATGTATATATATATATAAATGTGTGTGTTTAGCTGGTAGATAACAATCAAAATTTATAACAACAAACTCTTCAGCATGAAAATCATCCCACGAACGGTAGGTGAAAAATGGTGAACATATTTACATATATACATATATACAAATATACATATATACATATGTACAAATATACATGTATACATATATACATATATATATATATAAATATACATATATATATATAAATATACAAATACATATGTATGTATGTCTATATGTATATATGTATATACATATATACATATAAACATATATACATATATACATAATATACATATATACATATATATATACATATATACATATATACATATATATATATAATATGCATATATACATATATACATATATACATATATACACATATATATATATATATATATTCGTATATGGATATATGTATATATGTATATGTATATATGCATATATGATCTGCTCATATCTGCTCCTATGTAATGTTCGGACAGCAATAGAATCCACCATCCCCAAGTTTACGATGTTTATGGATATTGATATATTGTATAAATGGGTGGGATTCGATTTCAAACCATCAATTTATACGGGAGGTAAATCATTGCTTTACCCAGATTCTACCCAGAGTCATGGCAAGTTTAATTGGAAACTAGTGATAAGTGATAAACCATAAAATGGTGACATGGTCACCATATGTCAACATTAATCATTTATGTCATAGAGGTAACCAGGTGAGAATTCCAGGCGGAGCCAAGATCTCCAAGGGACGCTTCTTGGGCGCGGTTTCTCCGGGATCTTTGGGTGCACCTGAAAACGTGGGGATGTTTTTTTGCCATGGAAACATTGGAAACTGGCAAAAATACGAAGATCATACCATTGGTGACCTTTTTTTTTCAAGGATCCCTGAAAGTGCAAAGAGAAAACAACTTGGACTTGTAGCAAGGATTTACCATGATGTTCAACCAACACAAGTGACGGATTTGATGCTTTTCACCAAACGAAACGAAACTTTCTAGCCAAACAAAATCAGAAATTGGAGCCAAAGTGGGATTTTTATGGAAAGGATACGATTCTTAGCAACACTTGGGACATCATCTCCAGTGCTGGTTTAACTCCCAGGACCCCACCATGATGAAGAGTGGAGATACGTAGTGACTGGTTGGCAACGAATACCCACATTGGGTCTATGTTTTGTACATCATTGGTTACCAATGTATTTTTGCCTGACAAATTACTTGCCGTCTTCGAGCGATATAGATATACTTTATCATCCCAGCCCTCTTGAGGTATTCAAAGACGTCAATGGAAAATCCCATTTATAGATTATGTGTTTGATTTTCCAATTATTTCTCACTTTGGTTCGGGGATTTCCCAGCCATGCAGGCACATGATCCATCAAACTCGCCATCTACAAGATCCGTTGACCGGGACCCACGTTTCAATGTTCCATGTTGAGGTCCGATTGCCATTGCCAAGAAGCGGACGTTCCTTGAAGTACATCCTTCATCAGCCAGGGACCATGAACCTTTTATATAGTTTGGAAGTGACTAGCGTAACATTTTTTGTGAGAACCGGTCAGAACCCAGTTTCAAATCGGCTAACCCTATATTATATAGCTGTGCAACCTAACAGCATCAGTCATTACACCTGATCAAGTCTTGAAAACTAGTACCAACTTGCCGCGTTTCCAATTTTTCTTGGTCACAATCAATGATGCCCCCCTCAAAAAAAGCACGCTGTAACACGGAATGCCAGTTTTGTACAGTATGTTACATGTGTTTACCCTGGTTTGTGGTCGAATACGCTGGATTGTGGGAAGGCACATCTAGGTTTGTCTGCAAACCACCATCATCATCACCATCATCATCATCACCATCATCATCATTGTAAAACTCGGTTGCGCTGTCTGTCACTCTGTACTGACAATCTCCCTGTAGCCCAGCAGCTGTACCATGAGCTGCACTTTTCACTGTGTACGCTCAAGGGCCCTGTATCGAGCCAAGTCATGTAGCAGGCAAAGGTATGTACCAACTCCAGGTATACACAACTGTACACAGGTGGACATGTACATACATGGTGGCGTCTGTATTTAACACCCCCTCTCGACACAAGCATGTACTGGACACAAGCACCACCAAATTTTGAACTGCAACTGCATTAACTTTTACAATCTCAGCCAACTAGTATGTACACCCAAATCGGGTCGTACTGTACCTTGAGACTCAAAAGTCAATGCGCACATGTACTGGGATGTACTGCCTAGAAACAGCTGTACAAAATCCGCATCAGCTACTCGCATTTATCAGCATCATGTATCAACATCATGTATCAACAGCGCTTCACTAATTGTAATTCCTCTCAGCTCTCAGTTCTTGTATTTCAGGGATCGTCAGCTGTAGTCTCATCAACCGCAGTGTCCATGGCAGCCAATGTGGCTGAGGTGGCTGTACTCATGGCTGCCACTTTGTCCCTCATCTGTTGAGATCCCAAGTTCTCTGCCTCATTGACTTGCTCTTTCACGTGTACAGTGAATTGAGCTGTGTAGTGTAGCAGCGCCCTCTGTAAATCATCTCCCACATGTCGAGCAACTGCCGTACCGGAGTGGTACAGGCTCATAGAAAGGCCCGCATGTTGAGGGTCAGTGACTGGCCTGTTGATCACTGCACGCACATTCAGAGGCACGTGCTGAGTCCAAGTGTACCCATTGGTAAAGCTGTAGCGCTCGAGAATTTGCATCCAGCTGGCGCGGATCCTGAGCACTCTCTGCGATGCATGCTCCGTAGTATCGAACATGTACGCAGGTTCACCCTGGTACATCAAGCTGAGAAAGCCTCAATTGAAAACTTTGCCCCAACCATGGTACAAATTGGTGAGAACCTTGTGTACATTGGGAACAAACGTCACCATGTAGAAGACGGGCGTGTATGCCACGTCTCCTGTCGCGATGCACCACAGCATGTAGGTCACCACATCGTGAAAGCTGCAGTGCCAGGATGTAGATCCTGGGTTGTGGTGAGTATGTTGGACAGCCGGCAAAGTGCCATCGTCGATCGACTGGGCATTGTACTCCTGCTGAGTCATTGCCACAAACATGTACTTCACACCCTGTGCCTCGGCATGGTTCATGGTCTCTTCCCATGTACGTTGGTACACATGTACCGGTTCCAACTCGAGAGACTGTTCCATCTCTCCTTTGTCGGCGGCGGCCCACAACGACGAGTAGGGCCGTACCTCACCGCAGTGCAAGCGCTGAGCCAGTGTACTGAGACTATTTAGTCCTGTACCTGACGCTGGGCCATTTACTGCAAGGACGGACGGCACGGCCAGCGAAATTCAAACTATATCCATGTAGCCAAACAAAGTTGTACAAATTCAGGGAAACATATTGTGCATCTCAAACTTAGTGAACATGTACCCGTGGGACGTGGTGGACCATGTAAATCTTAGACTGTATCATGTAGTCCCCATGTACTCGTTAAACACCGTGACTCAGATGACGAGGTGAAAATGACAAAGGTGAGAATGAACATGTACGCCTTGAGGTCGTGAAACGTGTATATGTCAAACTCCGCATGCTGCAGGCATGTATTCATACATACGTGTTTGTATGCTGGTATGTGAAACTGCGGTACCTATGTAGCTCCTCAGCTATTCGGTGGAAACTTGGATTGTGCTTGGTGTTGATCTTGTGTATCGCAAGGATACCATCGTGGATGAGGTGTTGGATGAACATGTACCTGAGTTCAATGTGTTTAGCTCTTTTGGAGACTCCGATGCGTGTAGCCATACTTTGGCCGGACGAGCTGTCCGTGTGTATCTTGAGACTGATTTTGTTTGTAAGAATTTCTCCACGGAAATTCTTGAGGTGTAGTGCTTCTGTTGCTCCTGTACCAATGGCAAAGAACTCACTCTCTGCTGATGAGAGTGCCGGTAGTGGTGGCAGTAGAAAGGATGGTTGGAATCCAAGTGGTGGTGACGGATTCCATGGTGTACCTTTCACGGTTCCTAACATTTGTTTGTCGTAAGTTGCTTCTCCTGCAAGTCTCCTCACTATACGTGCTCGTACCCATCTGCCTGCAACACCTACAAAGGGTTCACCTGTTGATGTACATTTTCCTAACCAAGTACCTCTGAAGAACCTTGGCTCTAGCTTTGGTCGTTGTCTGAGTGTCGGGACCATGTACATTACAGTTTCTCCAAATTAACATAGGGCTGCATTGTGTGTACGTCCCCATCGTGCTTGATAGCTTGTGCATCCATCAGCTTTGATGAGAAACCGGTTGATCAAGTATGCTGAGTGTCGTACTGCGATTGCCATCAGTGGATGGTCTGTAGGGATTTGTATGCTGTAGTTCTGCTGCACCTGTTCCCTAAGTGTTCTAATTTGTCCTGACTGTGTACGGTGGTACCGTTCAACGTTTCCGTTGCTTTGTGAGCTGTACGCAGGTGAGAAGCGCACTGCCATGTTACCACATGCGTTGGCTGTCGCTCTGAGTAGTGCAATCAAATACTCCTCATTGTCGCTTGTAAAATGCCTTCTGTCCGGCCACACTCCAGAAGGAATGCTTGTAGGCAAGTTTTTGCATAGCTGGACTGGTTGTGCTTGTCTGTAATCATTGCTGCCATTGCCATGCCTGTTTGTATGTCGATCGCTGTAAGTATCGGTGTTGGGAACTTGTCACCGAAACTTGTGATGTAGGTGAAATCAACTTGTAAGATTGGCTGCCGCGATGTCTGGTTTGGATGGTTTGCTTGCCTGCCTTTTGCTTGTACATGTATTGGACACCAAATTCTGTATGGCATGCGTGTGATGTTGTGTTCCTGTATTTCCTGTGGTGTTGGTTGTGTAGGCATTGTCATTGCCTTTGCTCGTATCGTGTTGCCATCTGGGGTGTGTCATCTTCAGTGAGCAGGTCCTCACTGTACTCCATGCTTTCTTCAAAGGTTGTGGATCCTGTGCACTGTTCTTTCCTTGTAGGTTGTGGTTCAGTTGTCCAGTTGTCTTCAATTCTCCTGATGTTGTTCTCTGAGTGTATGTTCGTGTACCGTGTTGGTAAAAGCTTGTTGATGTCTGTTCCGTTGTCTTCAGGTGTTGGTACGTAGAATTCTGTTCTTGGAATCACATATACTCTTTTCCAGTGTCTTCTATCTCTGATCCAGTAATCTGTTGTACGTTGTACTTTCTCTGGTGGTGGAATTGTTGTCTCTTTCTCAGATTGCTTGCCTGTATGCCTCGTAAGCACTGGTGTGCTGGTGCTTTGTTTGTTTTGTGATTGCTCCTGTTGAATCCTCGTTGTACCTTCCTTTTGTTCAGGAAGTATCCTGAACCATGTTTCTCCTTGCCAAAGGCCTCCTGTAGGTTCTCTGTTCCTTTGTTCTTTTGTCAATGTTTTGTATTGGTCCTCCAGTACAAGGGGTTGCTTGTGTTCTCTGTGAATAATTGTTCTTCTGTAGTTGTCAAATCTGTCCAGAGGTGCTGCACATGTAGACTGCTTGCCGTGGTCTGGTGTGAACATTGCTTTTCTGTCTCTCTTGTGTACTCTCACCGAGTACCCTTGCTCGTTGTACTTCCAATAGTCGTTGTTTCCTCCTTGCTGTACACGTGGCCCTGCCGGAGTGAGGCCATGTGTTGGTGCAATCATTGCTGCTTGTCCTTTCGGTGTGTTCTGGATGACCAGTTTGTATCCTTGTTCAAGTGGTGCTAGTTCAAGGTGCATGTATAGGAGTTGGTTCTTCTTTGTCAGTGGTACATTGAAAGCTTGTCCATGTGTGAGAGCTGACTCCTTCACGCACGTAAAAGGGAATCACCAATTGTTTTCCTTGTCTGTTGTAAAACCTGATCCATCTGTACCCAAGAATCTTGAGTGGCTCATCTGTGACTGACCGCAGTGGTGGTGTCTCCTCTGGTGTAAGTTTCTGTAATGGGAAGTCTGCACCAAAGTTTGGTGAACAGACATGTATTGCTGCTCCACTGTCAACCATGATTGCTACTGTTGAGTCCGTGTTGAGATCTGTACAGGTGATTGACGCTACAAACAGTTCTTCAACCTTCACTGAAGAAACTGCCTGTGCCTATTGTAGGGTTGGTGGCTGCTGTGGGTACTCTTGTGCCTGTTGCTCTGGAAACCATTGTTGTTCGTACTGCCATGCTTCTTGTTCACTCCATTGTTGGTAATGTGGGTCATACTGTTGTTGGTTGTACTGCTCCTCATAGTAGTGCTGTTGCTTCTGTCACACTCGCACGCGGCAATCTTTTGCCATGTGCCCCATCTGTCCACGTCTGTAGCATGCTCCTTTGCCTTTTCCTTTGTCTCCTTGCCATGTAGGGGGTTCTTTGCCTTTTTGTCTTTCCTTTGACGGCTGTGTATCCTGATCCTTTGAAAGCATTGCCGTAGCCGTAGCCAATTGGTGTCTGTGCTTTTCCTTTACCATATCCACTGTTGTGTTGTCCTGTGTATCCATTTCCTTT